TTCTATTATATTCAACAGTTAATATTGTTCATCAGATTTTTTTTAAATTTCCTTGGTTTTTAGATTCACTTGTTGATAGTTACGTATTTGTTGTTCATATTTTTTATCTTTATTTACTTTCTCTTCTGAAAACCCCCTGCAGCAATTCATATAATTCTGGTTTGGTGGTGATGAACTCCTTTAGCTTTTTTTTTTTTTACTAGTGAAGCTCTTTATCTGGCCTTCAATTCTGAGTGATAGCTTTGCTGGATAGATTATCTTTGGCTGTAGGTTCTTGCTATTCGTCACCTTGAATATTTCTTGCCATTCCCATCTGGCCTGCATGGTTTCTGTTGAGAAGTCAGCTGACAATCGTATAGGTGCTCCTTTATAGGTAACTACCTGCTTTGCTCTTGCTGCTTTTAATATTCTCTCTTTGTCTTTTGCTCTTGGAATTTTAATTATGATGTGTCTTGGTGTGGTCCTCTTTGGATTCCTTTTGTTTGGAGTTCTGTGCACTTCCTGGACTTGTAAGTCTAATTCTTTCACCAGATGGGGGAAGTTTTCTGTCACTATTTCTTTCAGTATGTTTTCGATATCTTGCTCTCTCTCATCTTCTGGGACCCCCATGATTCTGATGTTGGTTCTCTTGAAGTTGTCCCAGAGGTTTCTTACATTATCTTCAATTTTCTGGATTCTCTTGTCTTGCTTCTGCCAAGGAGTGTCTTCTGGCTCTTTATGTTCCAAATCTTTGACTTGATTCTTGCGATCTTTCATTCTGTTTTTAGGACTCTGTATAATATTTTTTTACTTCAGACAATGTATTCTTTATTTCTTGTTGATCCCTTATCATTTCTCATTGATTCCTTATTAATTCTAGTTGATCCCTTTTCATATCCTCATAGGTCTTATCGACCTTTTCTAGGAAATTCTTGAAAAACCTTATAAGCGTAGATTCGAACTCTATCCAGTCTCTTCTTTTCCTCCATTTCTTTCGTTTGTGATCTATTTCGTTGTTGCGTTTTCGCAGCTTCCCTGGTGATGCAGAGTTTCAGGGTGGAGCCTACAGCTTTGGCTTCCGTCAGCCCCGCCCTATGCGGCTCCTGAGTCTCAGGGCCATTCAGTACTCGCTGCAAGCACCTCTGAGAGAAAGGTGCCCTCGATTTTCGCCTGCTACCAACAGTCTAGGCTCTCCCCCAATGAGCCTGGAACTGGGGTTCAGTTCAGTTGGTAGTGGGATTGGAGGTGGCGTTCAGAGCAGTCTGGAGCCCCTGTCTCCTTCTTGCCAGGGCAATCCCGTGGCACAGCCAACCGTCCCTTCTCTGCACGCAATGTGCGCGCCTTCAGGACCTCCTTTCACCGCTCCCCCGGGGTTCCACCTTACATCCCAGCTCCCTCTGGATGAGCCTGGGTCCCCGGGATCTGGCCTAGAACTGGGGTTCAGAGCAGTCGGAACTGGAGCCCAGCACAGTTGGAGTTTTATCTCCTTCCCGCTAGGGAACGCCAGCCAGGCACCCAGCCACCCCTTCTCTCCGGCTCCGTCCTCTCCGCGCGCGCTGTGTGTCTCCGTACCTTAGGCTTTTACAGCTCCTTTGCGCTTCCTTCTGGTTTTCTCCTTGCTTCTCATTGTAGAATTTCCAGTCAGTCGACTTTCCTGTAGTTCTGGGTAATATCCATTTTATATTTTAGTTGTATTTTATTGAAATTGTTGTGTGCGGCTGCGGCTAGGTGTTTACCTGTGCAGCCATCTTGGATTCTCTCCGTATTTTTTATTTTAAAAGAGCCAGTCAATATAGGAAGATTGGTTTATTTTTAAAAAATACATTTTATTGATTTTTTACAAAGAGGAAGGGAGAGGGATAAAGAGTTAGAAACATTGATGAGAGAGAAACATCAATCAGCTGCCTCTTGCACACCCACTACTGGGGATGTGCCCGCAACCAAGTTACATGCCCTTGACTGGAATCAAACTTGGGACCCTTATGTCCACAGGCCGACACTCTATCCACTGAGCCAAACCGGTTAGGGCTGGTTTATTTTTGAGAGTTAACTTGTACAGCTTTTTAAAATGGAGGATGATCTCTTATGACATAATCTTTAAAAAAGTTAATTGTGGTGTCATAATTAGAATTATATCACTCCTGGTAATGTAGTGGTATAGGAGATGAACTGAAACATCTGGATCTTATTTCTTAACCTCTAGAGTACATGTTTACTTGAGCAATAATAATTTAGTATTATGACTATGGGATAAGAAATAAAAAGTTCTGCGTCTTTTCTATGAAGCAGTTGCTCTTTCAAGTTAAGTAACCATGTAATTGCAAATAATTTATGGTAAGTGCATTTTTTTTTCCAGTTCCATCAAGTGTTGGCATAATTTTTTAGGTTCCTAATTATGAAATTTTTCCTCGGTAAAAGGGTAGTGTTTAATTTAGAGTTCAACTTGGAATGTCTTTGCCAGTGATTGGTTCTTGAGTTCACTTTCCCTTTCTTTTTCTTTTGACTCCCCTCATCTCTCCACAAGTCAGCTCTTTTTCGCTCCTGTTTATTTTATTTTTAATCTCCTGTATACTGTATAGATAGGATTTAGTCTAGATACATTAGACTAGATTAGTTTGGAAGAGTTACTAAAATAGTTGTTTTTGAGCAATGAACTTTTCTGCCAAAATTGCTATATTGGACAATTGATATTTCTTAACCTGGTTCTTTAGAGCTTTTTGTATTCTGTATTTCCTTTGAACTGTATAACCCTCTGTCATGACCAGAATGTTTTATTTACTGTCCCCCAAATAATACTCACTAATCTATAAGTATAATGCAAATATAAGGTTTAAGTATGTCCCAGGCTTTTTCCATGTCTCCATTTCTGGTTGTGCCATTTCACCTTCTTCAAATTCCCTTTGTCCTCTTCTCCGCCTATACAAATTCTACCCATATTTCAGGATCAGATTCATATTCAACCTTTTCAATAAAGCCTACTCTGTGTACTTGAGCCTGTTTTTTCTTCCTTTGAATTTTTACTGAAGTAATCAATCATTGGCAGTTAACCATAAACATTTATAAAAATATATTTTGATATTTTACAGAGAGCAAGGGAGAGGGATAGGGACTTAGAAACATCGATGAGAGAGAAACATTGATTAGCTGCTTCATGCACACCTCCTCTTGGGGATGTGCCCACAACCAAGGTACATGCCCTTGACCGGAATCAAACCTGGGACCCTTCAGTCCCTAGGCCGACACTCCATCCACTGAGCCAAACCAGTTAGGGCTAACCATAAACTTTTATTGCTAGCTTTAAATTAGTACTTTACTGGTATTAGCCAAGGTTCTCCCAATGGTCTATACACACGTATAAAAAGAGACTTACTATGAGAATTAATAGTAAGTCATGTGATAATGGAGGCTGACAGTCACAAGATCAACAGGGTGAGTCAACAAGATGGAGACTCAGGCCCTGGCAGGTTTAAAAAAAAAAAAAGCAACCACATAAGATACAAGACTCAGGAGAGCAGAGCTGAAGTTATAGTTTAGTTTAAAGGCTGGCAGGCTTGGGACCTAGAAAGAGCTGTTTCAGTTTGAGTCTGAAGGCAGGAAAAAGCTAATATCCAGTCCAAAGACAGTCAGGCTAAAGGGATTCTCTTTTAATATTTAATTTCTTTTGTTCTTTATTCATGTGTCTTTTCTTGCCAGCGGGGAGATAACTTGAGGGCAGGGACACTGTAAGTCATATTTGCTTGTTTATCATCTATGAGTCTTTGCATCCTGGCTTAATGTGTAGTAGGTACATCTACACTATAAAACCATTAACATTTTAGAGCTGGGGAGAGCCTTCGGGTTATTTTACTTTAGAGTTGGGGAATCAAGAACAGCTTTAAAATAGGGAGATTAATAATATACCACTGTTCCTGATTGTTACAAAAATAAAATGAGATCATGTAATGTGTGTGAAAAGTTTGATCCATTAAATAAAACTTTTGCTTAAATTGTGATTCAGAATGGTTTGGTGTGTGTGTGTGTGTGTGTGTGTGTGTGTGTGTGTGTGTGTGTGTGTGTTAATCCTCACCTAAGGATATTTCTCCCATTGATTTTTAGAGAGAGTGGAAGGGGGAGGGAGTGGGAGAGAGAGAAAATTACCAATGTAAGAGAGATAATTGATTGGTTGCCTCACCCATCTCACCCATGCACCCCGGGCCCCTGTTCAGGGCCAGGGATGAAGCCTGCAACTGAAGTACATGCCCTTGACTGGAATCAAACATAGGACCCTACAGTCTATGGACTGATACTCTATCCACTGAGCCAAACCAGCCAGGGCAAAATATTTTTTAAAAAGTCCTTCAAGCCCTAATCGGTTTGGCTCAGTGTATAGAGCGTCAGCCTGCAGATAGAAAGGTCCCGGGTTCGATTCCGGTGAAGGGCATGTACCTTGGTTGCGGGCACATCCCCAATGAGAGGTGTGCAGGAGGTGGCTGATTGATGTTTCTAACTCTCTATCCCTCCCCCTTCCTCTCTGATAAAAAAATCAATAAAATATATTTAAAAAAATAAAAAATAAAAATAAGTCCTTCAGTTTGGTAAATTAGACAATGTTTCCTGGGGAGGGAATTAACTTTTTAAAAGCTTTTCTTTTTTTCTATCTCTCTTCATTTAAAAATGTGCATGATACATCAATTACTCATACTCACAAGTATGTCCAAAATGAGAATAGATTTAATTTGTGATCATGTCATTGTTTCCTCCAAACATTATCTAACATGTTGAATTTACTGATTCCTATAGAATATTCCAATTATAAGGTGTCATAACCTAGTGACAGCTTTAGGTTTGGATCTGCCTGTATTGAAGCTGCAGTATGAGGCTATAGAAGTTATAATATCTAAACCCTAGAGTACTTTAATTTTAATACTCTTCTTTAGAAGTCTATAGTTGTGGGAACCTGGTATTGATTGTTTTCAAGTATTTTTATTTAATTTATTTTTTCCTCCTAGATTTTCTTGTAATCACATCTTAAAGCCTTCAAGATGGTACTAGCAGACCTTGGAAGAAAAATAACATCAGCATTACGCTCATTGAGCAATGCCACCATTATCAATGAAGAGGTATGTGAATTATATATTATTGCACATCATCCCTACCATTGGGAAGATGGATTATTAATAATCTCCATGTTTATATTTATCTTAATGTTGATTTAATATGTATATATAAAAACCTAAAATGGATATAATAGTGTGTTTTTTATTGAGTCGACTATCTTCCTATTAAAATTTTAACTTTCTTTGAAGAATTAAAACAGAAAAAAAACCTTAACTTATATGTAAAAATGACATTTAATATTCTGAAAATGTCTGAGATTTGGAAATATACTTTTCAAAAAATATATTTTTAAATTTATTTCAGGGGAAAAGGGAGAGGGAGAGAGAGATAGAAACATAAATGATGAGAGAGAATCACTGATCGGTTGCCTCCTACATACCCCCTACTGGGGATTGAACCTACAACTCAGACGTATTCCCAGAAATAGAATTGCTGGATCATAAGGCATGTGCCCTGACTGATAATCGAACCATGACCTTCTGGTTCATAGGTCAGTGCTCAACCACTAAGCTGCACTGGCTGGGCTGGAAATAGACTTTTGTTTGTCTCCTGACATAGGTCTAAAATTTCAGTGTTCTGCTTCTTTCTTCCTGGGTAGGCATGTGTGTTCCTGACCTTTTCTCCTCAACTTTTATTTAGCATCCTATCTACCCTGTTTCCTCAAAAATAAGACAGTGTCTTATATTAATTTTTGCTCCCAAAGATGCGCTAGGTCTTATTTTCAGGGGATGTCTTATTTTTCGATGAAGAAGAATACGGTACACATTTATTGTTAAATGAAAATAAAGGAAATTTATTACCTGTATACCATACGGTAGTACGGTAGTTGTCAACACAAATCAGACAAACTGTGAATCCTACAGAATCAAGAATTTACTCATTTATTCAATGACAATCATGTCATCATCTTCTGGAACATCATCATAACAATCCAATTCCTGAATTTCCTGGTGAATTTCTTGTGACTCCATTTCTTTCAAAATCAGTGGACCAAATCTCTCATGTTTAGCCTAGGAATGGCCTTATTTTTTGGGGATGCCTTATATTTCACTCAGAAGGAAACCTGTAAGTAGGTCTTATTTTCGGAGGATGTCTTATTTTCGGGGAATCACGGTAATAAAAGAGTAATATGCAAATTGACCATTACTCCAAGACACAAGATGGCCACCCTCACGTGGTCACATGATGGCCACCACAAGTAGGCCTGCAGGGGAGGGCAGTTGTGGGCAGTTAGGGGTGAACAGGCCAGCAGAGGGGGGCATTTGGGGGGTACTCAGGGGAGGGCAGTTGTGGGCGATCAGGCAAGCAGGGAGGACAGTTGGGGTTGACTGGGCCAGCAGGGGAGGGCAGTTGGGGGGGCCAGGTCTTCAGGGGTGAACAGTTGGGGGAGACCCAAGCCTGCAGGGGAGGAGAGTTACGGGATACCCAGGCCTGCAGGGGAGAGTAGTTGGAGGGGATCAGGCCTATAGGGGAGGGCAGTTGGAGGGGACCAGGCCTGCAGAGAAGGGCATTTAGGGGTGACCAGGATGGCAGGGGAGGGTCGTTAGGGGCAATCAGGCTGGCGGGGAGCAGTTGGGTGTCAATCAGGCTGATAGGGAAATGGTTAGGGGGTGATCAGGCTGGCAGGCAGAAGCAGTTAGGGGCAATCAGGCAGGGGCAGGTGAGGAGTTGGGAGCCAGCAGTCCTGGATTGTGAGAAGGATGCCTGAACCCCACTGGGATCGGGCCTAAATGTGCAGTCAGACATCTCTCAAGGGATCCCAGATTGGAGAGGGTAGAGGCTGGGCTGAGAGACAACTCCCCCCCCGCCCCCCCCATGCACAAATTTTGTGGACCAGGCCTCTAGTTTTTATATAAGGCTAATATTTTCATCTTGTCTACTTTGATTTATTTTCTCTGAAGTCCTCATTTATTTCTGTGGGGATTAATCCCCCAACTTTTTATGCATGGGAAGACTGAGCCCCTCCCTGGCCAGGGCATTTTTTTTGGAGATTTTGAAAGCTGACTCCTTATATGGTATCTGAAATACTCTTTTGCCTAGCTTTTTTGTGAAGATTTATCTTTTTCCCACACGATTTGTTTTAATGGTTTGTCAGTTGAAAAAATATTATTTTAATCCACAAGAATACTTTATATTTTGTGGTACCAGTGGAAAAGTATTGACCTTGGTTTTGGAAGGCCTTATTTAATATCCTACTTAGTAGGTGTGTGATAAAAATTTGGGCAAGTCAACTTCAGCTTCCTTAATCAGAAAATAGTATTTACCTATGATTATAAGAATCAAATTAAATAATAGGTAAAAAGTACTTTTTAACTTGGAGATTTGAAAAAAATTTTAATTATAAATTTGTTATCAATATAATAAGCTAATGGTATTAAATAATTTTGGGATCATCTTTGAGCTCAGCTAATCCTGCCTCTCACTTAATAACAACAGAAAGTAAGTTGCAAATGTTTATTTATTGGAAGAACCAGATTAGAATCTTTTCTCTAATTCCTTATCTGGGACTTTTATTTTTATTTATTTATTGGGGGGACTTTTTTTTTAATTGAATTTACTGGGGTGACATTGGTTAATAAAATTATAGGTTTCAAGTATACAGTTCTATACTACATCAACTGTATATTGTATTGTGTATCCATCACCTTAAGTCAATTCTTCCATTACCGTTTATTGTCCTTTTACCCTCATCTACCTCTCTCCAACCCCTTTTCACACTGTTAATCACTTTTGTTTGTGTCTATGAAGTTTTGTGTTTTTTTTCTTTGCTTGATCCTTTCAACCTTTTTTACCTAACCCTCAACCCCCTTCCCCTCTGACAGCTGTCAGTCTGTTCTCTGTATCTATGAGTTTGTTTCTGCTTTGTTTGTTAGTTTTGTTCTTTAGATTCCACATGTAAGTAAAATTATATAGTTCTTGTCTTTCTCTGGCTGGCTTATTTCACTTAGCATAATGGTCTCCAGGTCCATCCATTCTGTCACAAAAGGGAAGATTTCCTGCTTTTTTTTAATGGCTGCATAGAATTCTATTGTGTAGATGTGCCACAGCTTTTTTATCCACTCATCTATTAATGGGCACTTGGGCTACTTCCAAATCTTGGCTATTGAAAATAGCGAAGAATTAGTTTTTCAGGTTTCTTCAGATATATTCCCAGAAGTGGGATTGCTGGGTCATAAGGCAGTTTTGTTTTCATTGTTGACACTATTACATATGTCCTCCATTTTCTTCCCCTTTGCTCACCTCTACCCAGCCCCTGGCCCCCCTCTCTCCTGACCTTTTAGCACACTGTTGTCTATGTCCATGGACAATGCATATATATTCTTTGGCTAGTCTCTTCACATCCTTCTATCCAGACCTCCTCCCCCCCAAACCCCTCTCCTCTTGACATTTGTCAGTCTGTTCCATGTATCCATGCCTCTGGTTATATTTTGTTTGTTGGTTTATTTTGTTCATTAGATTCCATATATTAATGAGATCATATGGTATTTATCTTTCTCTGACTGGCATATTAGCATAATAATCTGCAGATCTATCCGTGCTGTCACAAAGGGTAAGAGGTCCTTATTTTTCATAGCTACATAGTATTCCATTGTGTAAATACACCACAGCTTTTTAATCCACTCATCTACCGATGGTCACTTGAGCTGTTTTCAGATCTTAGCTATTATAAATAATGCTGCTATGAACATAGGGGTGCATATATTCTCTTTGGTGCTTCAGGATTCTTAGGATGTATTCCCAAAAATAGGATTGCTGGGTCAAATGGCAGTTCCATTTTTAAATTTTTGAGGGAGCTCCATGTGCTTTCCACAGTGGTTGCACCAGTCTGCATTTCCACAAACAGTGCATGAAGGTTCCCTTTTCTCCATATCCTCACCAACACTTGCTGTTTGTTAATTTATTGATGTTAGACATTCTGACAAGTGTGAGATGATATCTCATTGTAGTTTTAATTTGCATTTCTCTAATGATTGGTGACATTGAGCATTTTTCATATGTCTGTTGCCCATCTATCTGTATATTCTCTTTGGAGAAGTGTCTATTAAGGTCCTTTGCCCATTTTAAAAAATATATATATTTTATTGATTTTGTACAGAGAGGAAGGGAGAGAAATAGAGTTAGAAACATCGATGAGAGAGAGTCATCGATCAGCTGCCTTTTGCACAACCCCTACTGGGGATATGCCCGCAACCAAGGTACATGCCCTTGACCGGAATCGAACCCGGGACCCTTCAGTCCCCAAACCAATGCTCTATCCATTGAGCCAAACCGGTCTCGGCCCTTTGCCCATTTTTTAATTGGATTGTTTGGGGGGTTTTTTGTTGATGTTTTTCTTTGCTGTGCAAAACCTTTTTAGTTTAATGTAGTCTCATTTGTTTATTTTTTTCTTATGTTTTTCTTGCCCAAAGGGCTATAACAGAAAAAAAATACTGCTAAGAGAAATGTCTGAAATTTTACTGAGATTTTACTGATTTTAGGATTTTTTATAGTTTGAAATCTAACATTTGTCTTTAATCCATTTTGAGTTTATTCTTGTACATGATATAAGAAGGTGGTCTAGTTTCTTTCTTTCTTCTTTTTTTTTTTTTTTTTTGCACATATCTGTCCCTTTTTCCCAACATCTTTTATTGAATAGACTATCTCTACCCCCATTATATGCTTCCTTTGTCAAATATTAATTTACCAGAGTGAAGGCATGGGTTTGTTTCTCTATTCTTCCATTGATCTATATGCCTGTTTTTATGCCAGTACGATGCTGTTTTGGTTACTATGGCCTTGTAGTGTAGTTTGAATTGGAGAAGTGTGATTCCTCCAATTTTGTTCTTCTTTCTCAAGATTCTGTGGCTATTTTGGTTCCATTTACATTTTTGGAATATTTATTCTAAGTTCAGTGAACTATGCCATTGGTATCTTGATAGGAATTGTGTTGAATCTATTGATTACTTTGGGTAGTATGGATATTTTAGGGATACTAATTCTTCCCATCCTGAACAAATATACTTCCACTTATTTTTCTCTTCTTCAATTTCTTTCTTCAGTTTCTTATAATTTTCCAAGTATAAGTCTTTTAATCCTTGGTTAAATTTATTTCTAGGTATTTTATTTTTTGAAGCAATTGTGAATTGGTTTATTTTCTTAGTTTCCTGTTCTGATAGTTCATTATTAATATTTAAAAAATGCATTTAATTTCAGGTATTTATTATGTATTCTGCTACTTTACTGAATTCATTTATTCTAGTAGTTTTTTGGTGGAATCGTTAGAGTTCCCTATATACAGTATCGTATCTTCTGCAAATAGTGACAGCTTTACTTCTTTTTTAAAAACTATTTATTTATTTTGTTAATCCTCACCAAGGATATTTTTTCCATTGATTTTTAAAGAGGAGGGGAAGAGAGAGAGAGAGAGAGAAAAAAGAGCAAGAGAAAGAAACATTGATGTGAGAGAGACACATCTCGTTGATTTGTTGCCTCCTGCATGTGCCCCACCCAGGGCCAGGGATCGAAACTACAACCCAGGTATGTGCCCTTAATCAGGTATCAAACCTGCAACCCTTCCATGTATGGGTCAGTGTTCTAATCACTGCAAGGGCAACAGTTTTACTTCTTCTTTTTCCAATTTCAATGCCTTTTATTTCTTCTTGTTGTCTGATTGCTGTGGCTAAAACTTCCAGTGCTGTCTTCTATAATAAAAGAGTAATATGCTAATTTGACCATCCTTTCTGACAACGCAGGCCGGAGGGAAGCCAGCCCAGTTCCCAGGTGCCAGAGGGAAGCTGGTGCCAGCAGCGAGGGCATCGGGCCTCTAGTGCTGAGTAAGAGTGGTAAAAGTGGGCATCCCTGTCTTGTTCCCATACTTAGGGTAAGGTTTGTAGTTTTTGCCCATTGAGTATGATGTTGGCTGTGGGTTTGTCATCTATAGCCTTTATTATGTTGAGGAATGTTCCTTCTATTTCTACTTTGCTGAGAGTTTTTATCATAAATGAGTGCTAGACTTTATCAAATTCTTTTTCTGCATCTATTGATATGATCATGAGGTTTTTATCCTTCATTTGCAGATATTATACCAACCTTGCATCCCAACTTGACTATTGTGTATGACTTTTTAAGGTATTGCTGTATCTGGCTTGCTAATCTGGTTTTTGGAATTAGGATAATGCTGGCCTCATAAAATGAGCTTAGGAGTTTTCCCTCCTCTTGAATTTTTTGGAATAATTTGAGAAGGTTAGTTCTTTGAATGTTTGGTAAGATTCATCTGTAAAGTCATCCAATTGAGGGCTTTTGTTTGTTGGTAGTTTTTTTTTTTTTTTTTTTATCACTGCTTTCATTTTTCTAGTTATAATCTGTCTGAGATTCTCTGATTCTTCCTGATTAAGTTTTAAAAGAATGTATATTTTAACAATTTATCCATTTCATCCAGATTTTCCAAATTGTTGGGATATAGTTTTTCATAATATTTTCTTACAGTTCTTTGTATTTTCTTGGTGTCAATTGTTACTTCTCCTGTTTATATCATTTTTTATTTTATTCATTTGGATCCTCTTTTTTTTCCTGATGAGTTTGGTTAAAAGTCTGTCAATCTTATTCATTTTTCCAATAAACCAGCTTTTGGTTTCATTGATCTTTGGTATTATTTCTTTATACTCTATTTTGTTATTTCTGCTCCTATTTTTATTATTTTCTTCCTTATACTCACTTTGGGCTTTGTTTGTTGTTCTTTTTCAAGTTTCTTTAAATGTAAAGTTAGATTGTTGGGGGGTTTTTTGTTTTTTGTTTTTTTACATTTTTCTTGTTTGTTGAAGTAGGTCTGTAATGCCATGAATTTCCCTGTTAGAACTGCTTTTGCTGTGTAGATTTGGGGTTGTTGTGTTCTCATTTTTACTTATTCCAAGGTATCTTTTTATTTCTTCTTGACCTCATTGTTAACCCATTCTTGTTTAGTAACATGTTCTTTAGCCTCCATGTCTTCATGTGTTTTTTAGTCTTTATCTTATGATTGGTTTCTAGTTTCATAACATTATGGTAAGTGAAGATGCTTGATATGATTTTCGTCTTCATAAATTTTTTGAGACTTGATTTATGTACTAACATGTGGTTTATCCTAGAAAATGTATTTGAAAAGAATACATCCTGCTGCTTTGAATTGAAATGCCCTGAAGATACAATTAAATCCATCTGATCTACTGTGTTATTTAAGGCCACTATTTCTTATTTATTTTCTGTCTGGAAGATCTATCCATTAATGTTAATAGGGTATTAAAAACCCCCACTATGACTGTTGCTGTCAATCCTTTATGTCCATTGAGATTTGCTGTACATACTTAGGTGCTCCAATGTTGGGCACACAAATGTTTACAAGGGTTATATCCCTGCCCTCATGGAGTTTACCTTCTAGTGTGTAAACACTTATTTACATGAGCAGCAAAAGCCTCACCTTTTCTTTTGGTGTGTGTGTTAATCCTCTCCTGAGGACATTTTTTATTGATTTTTTTTTTTTTTTTTAGGAGAACGAGAGGCAGGAAGGGAGGAAGGAAAAGAGAGAAAGAAACATCAGTGTGAGAGAGACACATTTGTTGGTTGCCTCCCGTATGGGCATCAAAACCTGGACCCTTCAGTGTGCGAGCCAACATTCTAACCATGGAGCACATCGTCAGTTCTTAAGACTTTTTAATTTTGATCTTTTAATCATGATGCCTTACCACTCAACTAATATATGATGATAGTAAGTTGTTAGTGGAGGATCATTTCCTTTTCACTTTGTTCCTCTGCTTTGAATGGAAACAGAAGACTGGATCATTTTATTTTGTTACATTTTCCTCCATGGTAGTCCAGTTAAGTAGATATTGTGAATATAAAGTGTTGTGTATCAGCAAACAGAAGGTGTTCAGTGACATAGAAAACTTCACTGGCAACACTATTGTGTAGTGACTTTTTTGGCTTATATATTGTCTTTATTATTACTTTAATATCGGAATAAAATTATAATTAATATTTAGTTGAATAAAACTAAATAGAATGTATTATTTTGACAAAATGACTAGACATTTTATAAGATGATATCTCTAAAGCTAACAAAACTTTTTGTTACCTCAATAATGTAATATTGTTTTTATTTAGCTATGATAGTATATGATGACTTATCAACCATTGTTTTTATATGATTGAAATAAAAATAATACACTGAGCGTTTCAATTTGTGCTTATTTGCAGGTATTAAATGCTATGCTAAAAGAAGTATGCACAGCATTATTGGAAGCAGATGTTAATATTAAACTAGTGAAGCAACTAAGAGAAAATGTAAAGTAAGTTCAATTTATTAGGTAATAAAACAGGCAACACTAAATTTAGTTTTCTGGGCTGAAGAGCTAACTAGAAAAGTTCTGTATAAGGAAAGTTTTCTGATATACAGCACTGGAAAAAATAGAACTCATGTATTTAGAAGATTCAATGTATAGTATATTTTCATGATTGTTCAAAGAATAAATTACATGTGGCTTTCATTTAATTATTGATTTCTTTCCATTTTACTACTGTCTTTGGATGGATTCAATCATATATTGTATAGTATTTCAATATAAAAACCTTTTAACAATTCAGATTCTTTATAGAAAAGTGGTGCCATTTTATCCTCTTCAGTCTTAAGATAGCATTAATCAGTCTTCTTCATTATGGAAGAACTAGAGGCTCAGTGCACAAAAATTCATGCACAGCAGAGGGGTGTCCCCTCAGCTTGGCCTGCACCCTCTCATAATCCAGAACCCCTCAGGGAATGTCCGACTGCCAGTTGGGGATCGGGACTAAACTAGCAGTTGGACATTCCTCTCACAATCCAGGATCACTGGCTCATAACTGCTCATCTGCCTGTCTGCCTGATCGCCCCTAACCCCTCTGTCTGCTTGCCTCATCACCCCTAACCACTCACCTGCCTGCCTCATTACCCCTAACCACTTGCCTGCCTGCCTCATTGCCTCTAACCCCTCTGCCTGCCTTCTTGATCACCCCTAACTGCTCACCTACTTGTCTGATTGCCCCTACCTTCCTCTGCCTGCCTGCCTGCCTGATCGCCCCTAACTGCTCACCTGTCTGCCTCATAGCCCCAACCACTTGTCTACCTGCTTGATCTCCCCTTACTGCTCACCTGATCACCCCTAACCACTCTTCCTGTCTGCCTGATCATCCCTAACCACTTGCCTGCCTGCCTGATTGCCCCTAACTTTCTCTGTCTGCCTGCCTAATTACCTGTAACTGCTTGCCTGCCTGCCTGATCGCCCCTAACCACCTCTGCCTCTGCCCCTACCACCATGGCTTCATCTGGAAGGACATCCAGAATGATGTCTGAAAGGTCATTCGGCTGTCCAGTCTAATTAGCATATTACACTTTTATTATTATAGAATTGTCTTCTCTTTCATTTCCATTTTGGTTTCTTTGTCCAAATTTGAATGAAGTACAAATGTGTCTGCTCTCAGTTATCTTGTTTACAGGGAGGGTCACTGCTGGAGTAGGGCAACATAGAATAATGTAAGGAACTCAGTTAACTGCTTAATCCTAGTCCTTGTTATGCACAGGTCATCCCTCCTTTTCATATTACCAGACTGGATAATAAATGTAGTACTACTAGCATTTAAGTATGTAGGACTAGAGAAGTAGTTTTATTTTCTGCTATGTTTAAATTTATTTGAAGTATATATGCTGCAAGAAAAATTTTAAAAATTAATACTCTGCAGTGATAAGACAAACTAATATTAAAAAATTTTTAAAAGCCTTCTAAACTAACCAATGTCTTATGTCTAACATTTCATGATACAATTTGGAACAGTCTTTATAGTATAGGCTTTTGAATCTGTAGTAATTACATACATGTTAATTTAAAGGTTATTAATATAAATAATTTAATATTTTTACATTTTTTGGGAGAGGAACTTCTTTTTTTAGTGTCTTAATTGGCTCTTCTTTCTCCTACCCACAAATACCATCATCATGAAGGTCTGCTATTGATCTTGAGGAGATGGCATCTGGGCTTAACAAAAGAAAAATGATTCAGCATGCTGTATTTAAAGAACTTGTGAAGGTAAAAAGTATATCAAACTTCTGCTATAATTCTCTATAGACTCAAAGGATAAAAATACGTTAGCACTGCAAACAGGAATATTATTTCAGAATACTTTTTTATGTTTTTATAGACTATTCATCTATATTAGAAGTTTTGAGGATAATTAACTTTTCTAACGTGGCCTAATTTTATTATAGACTTTTCTAAATACAAAATTCTGATTACAGATATGAAGTCCAGTACTATTCCTGCAAAAAAAATGCCAAAGTTTTGCCTATTTGCAGGTTCTACTTTTGTGCAGAAAATCACTCCGGACAAGAGTTCTTTTCTATACTCTTCATTGTGTACAGTGTTCTCTTTGAAAAGGCCAAATATCCCAACTCTTGCCTAGATATGAGCAATTTTGGACTAACAAAGTTTTATTTTGCATGAGTAAATATAACTTATTACTCTGCCTCACCTTAGAACTGATATTGCTGCTGCTGTCATGAAAATTATAGTGAAATCTTTAGAGCTTTAATAAATATGTATGCAATCTAATGATGGGAGGAGGGGGGGAGAAGGAACTAAACCCCTTTTTCCTTTTCCTTTTTATTTTTTAAAATATATTTTATTGATTTTTTTACAGAGAGGAAAGGAGAGAGAGAGAGAGCTAGCAACGTCAATGAGAGAGAAACATCAACCAGCTACCTCTTGCACACCCCCTACCGGGGATGTGCCCACAACCAATGTATATGCCCTTGACCGGAATCGAACCTGGGACCCTTCAGTCCGCAGGCCTATGCTCTGTCCACTGAGCCAAACTGGTTTCAGCTCCTTTTTCTTTTTAAAGAGCAACAGATGTCTGCTAGTGGTCTCCTGGTATTTTTCTCTATGTTGTGTGATTTGTTTCATTTACTCCTTTGGTTCCTGCAGAGCTATTTAGTACTTGGAGAAAGTCTAGTTACCTCGGATGGCTATGTCATTTCAGTTTAGTCCTGTAGACTAATTAATAAAAAAGGAAATTCAGAGGAAAGGAATCAGAGTATTTATCTAGTCACACTTCTCAGTTGCAGTTGAGAAAAGTAAGTCAACTAGTTAGTGGCAGATCTAGATCTGATCTCCAAATTTCTTGTGCAGTGCTGCTCACATTATTTCCAGATTGCTTTTCATTTGGCACCTGAGATGAGCACAGGATGAGTGAAAATTGTTAATTTGGAGCCTGGCGATTCTGGAGTATTAAGTTCTTTGTTTAAAAGCATTTACTATTGAGTATCTGCCTTATTCTAGGCAGTATGCTAAATGCTGCTGATAACAGAAATGAGCAAGACTGGTGCTTATGTTCAGCAGCTTATGGTCCAGAGCAGTGGTGTTCAAAGTAAGATAAACTGTTTTCACAGTAACACAAAGACATTATTTGCCTTTTTTGTCTCTTTTACTGTGTTGGTATTTCTACTGATGGTGCAAAAGCAGTTGTGAGTAAAACTCCCCAGCGCAAATCAAAGCAATGGTACCAAACTATATTGGTAGAGATTGTACTCTTTACTACCCCATACTTGTAATAAATAAATAAATTGCCAATTTCATTTAAGAATGCCCTTGATGGAGCAATAGATATTATTAGTTGTACTAAATCTTGACCCTTGAGTATACACAAGTCTTTAGAAGATTTTGTGTGATGAAATGGGAAATATGCAGAAAGCCCTTTTGCTGCATACTGAAATTTGATGGTTGACTTGAAGAAAGCACATGTGTGATTGTTTGATTATAAGCCACTTTTTCTGCATCACCATTTTTATATGAATGTACAAAAATAGATAGTCTGGTTATTCAGACTTGGGTATTTAGCAAATATTTTCTCCAAAGTAAAGAAAGTAAGCCTGCCACTTTAAGGCAAATAATTAACAATATTGTGGCGAGCAATAAAATTCAAGTTTTCAGGTGAAAACTAGAAACTTGTATCTCTACCTTAAGTTTGACAGTGTTCCAGTATTTACTTTTCTGATGAGATTAGTATTAATATTAATAAATAAAATTATTTGATGTTATATAATTCTCCCTAAGTGGGGGCTGCTTGTATTGGCTACCTTCTGAAGACTGGAGTATGGGAAGGATGAAAGTAAGAGTGACTTTACGGTGGCAAAACCCAACAAACACTATCTCAGGCAGGTGATCAAGATCAACATCAACAGTGATAAGTCATGTTGTAGTACATATCATCAGTATAATTAATGAAACACTTCACCCCTGCAGTCTCCTCCAAAAGTGCCTGTAACCCCAATATAATCATGAGAAAGGCCTCAGGCAAATGCCAACTGAGGGTCAATTCTACAAATACCTGACCAGTATTTCTCCAAACTGTCCAAGTCATCAAAACAAAGAAAGTCTTGAGAAAATGTCATAGCCAAGAGGACATGAGGCTTTTTACAAAAGAAAGAGAGGATATGAGGATTTAATATAATGTGGAATCCTGGATGGTATTCTGGAACAGAAAAGCAACATTGGGTAAAAACTAGGGAAATTGGAATAAAAGTATCGGTGGGCGTTAGTTAATATCGGGTCTAGTAATAATTAATGTCGTTTTTAAACATTCGTTTAAAATCTTGCTTGGCGTTGACTTGTATTGACATAACCTTCAAACACGTGGTATCTACAGAACGTGTGAAGTGCAATTAACAACTTTTGCTTGAAAAAGTTTGTGTTTGGTTTGGTTTTTGTTGCAAAACTAGGGCTAAGAAGATGGCGGATGAAGAGCATATTGGGCACTGCATGCTTTACGAGTTCCAATTAGGAAGAAAAGCAAGTGAGGCTGCAAAAAACATCTGTAGTGCTCTTGGTCAAGATGCAGTTAGCGCCAGAAAATGCCAGCGTTGGTTTGAGAAATTTCACGAGGGAAATTTTTCGTTAGATGACAAGAGTGGTCGAGGCCGTGTGTCCAATTTTGATCAAGAAGCTCTTCAAGCTCTTTTGGTGCAAAATCCTCAAATTACCCAACAAGAGCTTGCGACAACTTTAAATTGTTCACAAAAAACAATTTCCAATCAATTGCGTGCACTTGGCAAAGTCCAAAAGTTTGGAAAATGGGTTCCTCATGAGTTGACCGACAACAACCGTAATCAGTCACAATTTGCAGTTCGCTCCTCCCTCGTCAAAACCGCTTGCCATTTTTAGAGCAAATTGTTACCGGAGATGAAAAATGGGTGTTGTATGTTAATTTGAAAAGGCGGTCTCAATGGTTGGACAAAAATGAGGCTCCGCAGCCCACGCCAAAACCTGACTTGCATGCGAAAAAAGTGATGATGTGTGTTTGGTGGAATTTTAAAGGAATTCTTCATTATGAACTTTTACCATCTAACCAAACCATTACAAGTGCAGTGTATAGTGCCCAATTGGAAAGGTTAGCCCAAGCTTTAGAAGAAAAAGAACCCGCGCTGATTAATCGGAAGGGCGTAATTCTTCACCACGATAACGCACGACCGCATACTGCAAGAATCACTGCTGAAAAACTGCGCCAGTTGGAATGGGAAGTTCTCCCTCAACCTGCATATTCTCCTGATATTACCCCTTCCGATTACCATTTGTTTCGTTCTTTGCAAAACTTTCTTCTTGGAAAAAAATATAATAATGAAGAATGCCTCGAAAATGCATTGACCAAATTTTTTGCATCAAAATCACAAGAATTTTACAACAGAGGGATTAAAATGCTTCCTGAGCGTTGGGCACAAGTAGTAGAAAACAACGGCAACTATATTGTTGATTAAATTTTGTTGTATTGTTTAAATAAATTCGATTTTAAAAAGTATTAGAAACGACATTAATTATTACTAGACCTAATAATGTATCAATATTGGTTCACAGATTAGAACAAAGGTACCACTGTAATTTAATTTGCTAATAATAAGAGTTTCGGCCCAAACCAGTTTTGGCAGAATATTGAATGTTTTAAAAATTCTTGCAGCACACCATTGTGCCACTGCAGTTGAAAAATCGCTGCTCTATTACATTAAAATCTGTTATTGCATCTTGCACTTAGCATGGATCTTATACTGTTACATGATTTTCTAAAATCAGACATTGATCATTTTGAAAATATTGGAATTCACATTCACTATATAACATCAAATAAATTTTTTTTTAAATATAAACTTTTTATTTTAGAATAGATTTTAATTTGCAGAACAGTTGTGAAGTAGTACAGAAAGTTCCTATATGCTCTAGTACAACAACAGCTGTCTGAGGTGAATGAATCAAAATTATACCTGGTTACCCTGGCCGGTTTGGCTCAGTGGATAGAGCGACAGCCTGTGGACTCAGGGGTCCCAGGTTCAATTCTGTCAAGGGCATGTAGCTTGGTTGAGGGGCACATACCCAGTAGGGAGTGTGCTGGAGGCAGCTGATTGCTGTTTCTAGCTCCCTATCCCTCTCCCTTCCTCTCTGTAAAAAGTCAATTAAAAGATATATATTTTTTATAATATATATATATATATTATATAAAATACCTGTTTTTTTTGTCAAATCAGCAAAAGTACAATATATTTTGTTATGCCACAGAATTTTATTTATTTTTTAATTTTTATTTTATTTTTTTTGTAATTTTATTTATTTATTTATTTATTTAAATAAGTTTTTATTGTTCATATTATTACAAATGTTCCTTTTTTCCCCCCCACCATTGCTCTCCTCCACCAGGTTCCCACCCCACCCTCTGGCCTTTACCCACTCCCCATTGTCCTCATCCATAGGTGCACAGTTTATGTTCAGTCTCTTCCCACATCCCCCTCTCCCCTTTTTCCCAAGAATCGTCAGTTCTGCCGAAACCGGTTTGGCTCAGTGGATAGAGCATCGGCCTGCCGACTGAGGGGTCCCAGGTTCGATTCTGGTCGGGGGCATGTACAGTGGTTGCGGGCACATCCCTGATATGGGGTATGCAGGAGGCAGCTGGTCGATGTTTCTAGCTCTCTATCCCTCTCCTTTCCTCTCTGTAAAATATCAATTAAAAAAAAAAATATATATATATATATAAAGAATCGTCAGTTCACTCCCCTTCCATACCTCTGATTCTATTATATTCAACAGTTAATAATGTTCATCAGATTTTTTTTTTTAATTTCCTTGGTTTTTAGATTCACTTGTTGATAGTTACGTATTTGTTGTTCATATTTTTTATCTTTATTTACTTTCTCTTCTGAAAGAACTCCCTGCAGCAATTCATATAATTCTGGTTTGGTGGTGATGAACTCCTTTAGCTTTTTTTTACTAGTGAAGCTCTTTATCTGGCCTTCAATTCTGAGTAATAGCTTAGCTGGATAGATTATCTTTGGCTGTAGGTTCTTGCTATTCATCACCTTGAATATTTTTTGCCATTCCCATCTGGCCTGCATGGTTTCTGTTGAGAAGTCAGCTGACAATCGTATAGGTGCTCCTTTATAGGTAACTACCTGCTTTGCTCTTGCTGCTTTTAATATTCTCTCTTTGTCTTTTGCTCTTGGAATTTTAATCATGATGTGTCTTGATGTGGTCCTCTTTGGATTCCTTTTGTTTGGAGTTCTGTGCGCTTTCTGGACTTGTAAGTCTAATTCTTTCACCAGGTGGGGGAAGTTTTCTGTCACTATTTCTTTCAGTATGTTTTCGATATCTTGCTCTCTCTCATCTTCTGGGACCCCCATGATTCTGATGTTGGTTCTCTTGAAGTTGTCCCAGAGGTTTCTTACATTATCTTCAATTTTCTGGATTCTCTTGCCTTCTAGCTTCTGTGGAGGAGTGTCTTCTCGCTCTTTATGTTCCACATCTTTGACTTGATTCTTGCTATCTTCCATTCTGTTTTTAGAACTCTGTATAATATTTTTTATTTCAGACAATATATTCTTTATTTCTTGTTGATCCCTTATCATTTCTTGTTGATCCCTTATCATTTCTTGTTGATTCCTTATTAATTCTAGTTGATCCCTTTTCATATCTTCATAGGTCTTATCGACCTTTTCTAGGAAATTCTTGAAAAACCTTATAAGCGTAGATTCGAACTCTATATCCAGTCTCTTCTTTTCCTCCATTTCTTTCGTTTGTGATCTATTTCGTTGTTGCATTTTCGCAGCTACAGATGGTGCGGAGTTTCAGGGTGGAGCCTACAGCTTTGGCTTCCGTCAGCCCCGCCCTATGCGGCTCCTGGGTCTCAGGGTCCTTCAGTACTCGCTGCAAGCACCTCTGAGAGAAAGGTGCCCTCGATTTTCTCCTGCTACCAAACAGTCTAGGCTCTCCCCCAATGAGCCCGGAACTGGGGTTCAGTTCAGTTGGAAGTGGGATTGGAGGTGGCATTCAGAGCAGTCCGGAGCTTTTGTCTCCTTCCCACCAGGGCAATCCCGCGGCACAGCCAACCGTCCCTTCTCTGTGCGCAGTGTGCGCGCAGCCGGCACCTCCTTTCGCCGCTCCCCTGGGGCTCCTCCTTACAGCCCAGCTCCCTATGAATGAGCCTGGGTTCCCGGGTCTGGCCTAGAACTGGGGTTCAGAGCAGTCGGAACTGGGGCCCAGCACAGTCGGAGCTTTTATCTCCTTCCTGCTAGGGAACACCAGCCAAGCACTCTGCTGCCCTCCCCTTCAGCTCCGTCCTCTCCGCGCGCCACATGTCTCTGTACCTTAGGCTTTTACAGCTCCTCCGCTCTTCCTTCTGGTTTTCTCCTTGCTTCTCATTGTAGAATTTCCAGTCAGTCGACTTTCCTGTAGTTCTGGGTAATATCTATTTTATATTTTAGTTGTATTTTGTTGAAATTGTTGTGTGCGGCTGCAACTAGGTGTTTACCTGTGCAGCCATCTTGGATTCTCTCCCCAGAATTTTATTTTTAAAATATATTTTATTGATTTTTTACAGAAAGGAAAGATCAGGGATAGAGAGTTAGAAACATTGATGAGAGAGAAACAATCGGCTGCCTACTACACACCCCCTACTGGGGATATGCCCTTAACTAAGGTATATGCCCTTGACCAGAATCAAACCTGGGACCTTTCAGTCCGCAGGCCAACACGCTATCCACTGAGCCAAACCAGTTCGGCATGATATGCCACAGAATTTTAGTAATTAGTTTATGCGTGCCATGAGATGAAAAAGGTTGAAAGTCGCTGTAATAGAGTATGAAAGTTAATAGGGGGAAAAAAAAGTTACTAGGGTTTCATATTCCATACTGCACTAACCTTTACCAACTACCTTGATTATAAAGGAGTCCTGAGACTAAAAATTTCTGTACTGTTATTGTTGAGTGCAGCTGGAAGATTAGATTTATAAAATAATAATTCAGTAAAATGCATACGTTCCAAATAGAGAGAACTCATTAGGCCATGTGATATAGAGAATGGAGGTAAATGTAGGGTAGAATAAGTTTTCTAAAAGGAGTGGATTTATATTTGAGATAGATTTTGGCTGTTTCAAAAGTTCACTTAATAAGGCTAGGCAAAATGTGTGTTCTTTTCCTTCTTTCTCTACAACATGGCTTTCTTCCAAATTCAGGTGTAATATGGATTATGTGATTTTTATGCTATCTTTTAGCTTGAGCTTGGCAAACTTTCTCTTAAGGACTAAACAGTTTAGGCTTTGTGGGCCATATGGTTTCTGTTGCAACTACTTGGATCTGCTGTTGTAGCACAAAAGCAATAAGTGAATGGGTGTGGTAATGTTTCATTAAAACATTTTATACACATAGTTTGTCAAGCTTTAATCTAGGACATTAATTACTATTATGGCTTTATTATTATACTAGAGGCCTGGTGCACGAAATTTGTGCACTTGGGGGGTAGAGTTCCTTAGCCCAGATTGCAAGAGGATGCAGGCCAGGCCAAGGGACCCCACCGTAGCATACATGATCAGGGGCTGGAGAGGGATGCAGGAAGTTGGCCAGCCAGGGAGGGACCATGGGAGGACTCAAGGGCATGTTCAGCCCCTCGCACTCAGTCCCAATTGGTCATACCCCAGCAGCAAGCTAAACTACCAGTTGGAGTGTCTGCCCCCTGGTGACCAGTGCACATCATAGCAGCTGGTCAACCAGTCAACTCTCTACTTCCTGGTGGTACACATCATAGCAAGAGGTTGAGCAGCCTTAGCATATCATTAGCATATTACACTTTGATTAGTTGAATGGACAACCAGACACTTAACACATTAGGCTTTTAAACCATAGGATGGAGATCTGTGTTTTAAGTTCTGAACAACTGACTTGCAAATGAATTTTTTTCAATGAACTTTAAAAATACCTCATGCTTGTTAGTTTGGGGACTGTTCATGTGTGAACCTTAAGTTTCCATTGACACTGTGATTCTTTTTTACTAACCCTCTAAATATATTAATTTATAGAACCGTAGATATTTGGCATTGGAAAATTTGACATTTGACTGATTTGGAATGTCTTTCACATATAATTTTGTTCATATATAAATATTTGTCAAATTGAATGTAAAGATAGATACCATCTCAATATTGTAGCCATTTGCCACATATGGTTATTGAGCACTTTTGTAATATGGCTAGTTCAAATTGAGATGTACTGTAAGTATGCAACACTTGCCAAATTTGAAGACCTACTATAGAAAAAGGGAATATAAAATATCTTATTTTTTTTTAAGTATATCTTATTTTTTTAAGTATAGACTGCATGTTGAAATGTTAATATTTTGGGTGTATTGAGTTAAATAAAACATTAAAATTAATATAAATTGTTTTTGCTTTTTTAATTGTCACTACTAGAAATTTAAAAATTCATATGTGACCTGTACATATGTTTCTGCAGTGCTGATGTTGATTACTCCTTTGGCTCAAACTTGGTCTCACATTTCATTCACATTCTACTTTGTCTTAAAAAATGTTTTAAGATTCTTCCTCTGAATTGGTTTGACATTATAGGGTTGTTTATGACTTCACAATGCATTATTATAAGTTCTTAAATTTCACTGTATTTACAAAGGGAAATAGAGTTGTATTAGAATGTAGAATAATGGTTGCCTTTTATACAGATGTCCTTAAATTATTTTTAGTTTAAAAGTTTTGGAGAGAGATGCTTTGAATGTAAGCATATGTTAACCTGATTTTATGTTTATTTTACTTTTGGGATGTAGCTTGTAGACCCTGGAGTTAAAGCATGGACACCTACTAAAGGAAAACAGAATGTGATCATGTTTGTTGGATTGCAAGGGAGTGGTAAAACTACCACATGTTCTAAGGTAAATTATAATTAATTTTAAAATAAAGTCATAAAGAAGATAGTTTTGTAAAAATCAAATTTTATGTTAAATCAGACTGTATAGTATTGTTGCTTTTCAGTTTTGTATTACTTGATGTATCTATTATATATTTGTGATAGCTTTTTGTAGGATAAGAAAAAGTAAACCCATAGTTTCTCTTGTGATTGCTTTTTGAAAGAATGATAGATCCTATATAATAAAAGCCTAATATGCAAATCGACCAAACACTGGAACGACCAGTCGTTATGATGCACACTGATCACCAGGGGGCAGATGCTCAACACAGGAGCTGCCCCCTGGTGGTCAGTGTGCTTCCCCAGGTGGAGCGACACTTAGCCAGAAGCCCGGCTCACGGTTGGTGAGCGCAGCAACAATGGCGGGAGCCTCTCCCAACTCCATGGCAGCGATAAGGAGCAGCAAGCCAAGTTGTAAGGAACAGCAAGCAGGTGGGCAGCAAGGAGCTAGGGGTCATAGGCTGCAAGAGGGCGCAGGCTAGGCTGAAGGGACCCCCCCTCAGTGCATGAATTTCATGCACCAGGCCTCTAGTTTCTATATAACTGTGTTCTTTCTTTTACCAATAAGACTTCCTGTCCTTTAAGGAGGTGAGTATATGATTTTTTAGAGGGGAAAAAAGGAAATTTTACCTTAATTCCTATGGTTCAAGACTCTCCTATTCACAGAGTCACTTCCAGCATTATATAGATCTTTATTTTACACTAGAGGCCCAGTGCACAGATTCATGCAACAGTGGGATCCCTTGGCCTACTCTATGCCTTCTCGCAATCTGGGACCCTTCAGGGGATGTCCAATCCAGATTGGAGAAAGCCCGATCCCTGCAGGCCCGATCCAGACAGGAGGGAGCCCGATCCTGTGCACTGAGCACCTGTCCCCTGGTGGTCAGTGCTAGTCATAGCAACCAGTTGTTAGGTCGTTCAGCCACTTAGGCTTTTATATATAGAGAGAGTAGAGGCCCAGTGCATGAAATTCGTGCACAGGTGGAGGGAAACAGTGTCCCCTCAGCCCAGCCTGGACCCTCTTCAATCTGGGACACCTCGGGGAATGTCCGACTGCCGGTTTAGGCCTGATTCCACAGGGGACATCCCTATCACAATCTGGGACTGCTAGCTCCTAACTTCTCACCTGCCTACTTGCCTGATCATCCCTAACTGCCCCCCCTGCTGGCTTGGTTGCTCTCAACTGCCTGGTCACCCCTAACTGCCCCACCTGCCAGCCTGGTCGCCCCTCACTGCCCCTCTCTGCCAGCCTAATTGCTCCTCAAGGCTCCCCCCCCCGCCAGCCTGGTCACTCCTCACTGCCCCCCCTCTGCTGGCCTGGTTGCCCTTCACTGTCCCCCCTCTGCCGGCCTGGTTGCCCCTCACTGCCCCCCTCCCCCACTGGACTGGTCGCCCCACACAGCCTGCTGGTCAGTCATTTGGTCGTACCTCGCTAAATCTCCTGCCGGCCTAGTCGCCCCACGCAGCCTGCTGTTTGGTTGTTACTATGAGGGTGTCGTGACCAATTTGCATATTACCCCTTTATTAGTATAGATTATTAGTATAGATATCCTTATGCTAATTTTTAATTCATTATACCACACTTTCTTCCAGAATTGGGTGCCTCAACTTTGTTAACACCTTTAGTTTCACAAGCTTCAACTATCTTAAAGCTTAGAAAAAAAACAAAGGATTATTTCTTAGAAGATTATGTTATTATTTTTACTTCATTAACACTAATTGTATTTAACGTTTTTTACTACAGTCATTTGTTGCTTGATCATCTTATATTCTTTGAATGTGACTGTATGGCAGTTAGAATTTAAACTCTTTAGGAAAGTTACTGTATTCAAAATTTAATATTATTATTCAGGAGAATATGGGTAGTTTTACTTAATCCCTTAAGTAAATAACTAGGATAAACAGTAAAAATTATATATATAATAATGCATATTTATTGATGTTATATATTTTTTAATCTTCCTTTCCCAGTTAGCTTATTATTACCAGAGGAAAGGTTGGAAGACCTGTTTGATATGTGCAGACACATTCAGAGCAGGTAATGTGTTGAGATTTGAAATTTTGTTTCCTGTAATTTTTATTTTTAAGTTTGAGGATTCATTAACTCTTTATCTCTTAGGGGCTTTTGACCAACTAAAACAGAATGCAACGAAAGCAAGAATTCCATTCTATGGAAGGTGAGTTTTTGTTTTTTATTTTGATACTCAAGTGCCTCATCTTGTCTCTCTATTTTATGTTATTTAGTCACATTTTAATATATACTTATAAGTTTAAATTCTTTCTGGAACAAAGTGGAAATATAATTAGTAAATTGATGACTTTTACTATTAAAACATAACTCTTCTGATTCAACCTGATAGATTAGAGTAGAAATTGTTTAGTTTTTAATTCTGCTTTGCATGCTTATCATCCTGCCTTTGCATACTTTCTGAACTCTTTCTGCTTCTCTCTATTCCTATTGCTTCTTTTACTATCTGTCTAAAGCACTCCTCATTTAAACACACACTGGTGAATTCCATACTGTTTGTTTCTTTAGTACATCATTTAAAAAAGTTTGATGATCTGCCTGGCTGGGTAGCTCAGTAAGTTAGAGTGTTTGATCTCTGGTCAGGACACATACAAGAAAGCAGCCAATGAATACATAAATAAGTGGAACAACAAATCAATCTTTCTCTCTCTCTCTCTCTCCCTCTCCCCCCCTCCAATTTTATTTATTTATTTATTTATTTATTTATTTATTTATTTATTTATTTATTTATTTTTAATATATTTTATTTATTTTTTACAGAGAGGAAAGGAGAGAGATAGAGAGCTAGAAACGTCGATGAGAGAGAAACATCGACCAGCTGCCTCTTGCACACCCCCCACCGGGGATGTGCCCGCAACCAATGTACACGCCCTTGACCAGAATCGAACCCGGGACCTTTCAGTTCGCAGACCGACACTCCACCACTGAGCCAAACCGGTTTCAGCTCCCCCCAATTTTTTAAATAAAATTTGATTATCTTAAAATGGTTTATAATCTGTACACATATCAGAGATTCTGATCATTGCTATCCTTCATTTGATACATTGCTATTCATTTAGGTAGTTTGTATATGTTAGAATAATTAATGAAAAGAAACAAGTGTAAATTGAATTTAGGAGGATTTGTTTGAAACAATTGCATTTTTCTTAACATTATTAATGTAAATGGTTTATAATACCTTCAGGAAAAAAACTTAAAGAAGCTAACATTTGAGGTAATTAAATAGTGGATATTTTTTTGTTAGTCATTACCTTCTACTTTTTGGCTGGCCAGAAAAGCTAATGAACTTTGACTATATATGCTCTTTATTGAATTTTTTTTTCTTTTAGTTATTTTTTAATAATGATTTCTAACAAATAGATTAATGAATAATAGTAGGTATTTTAATTTTAGGATAAAGACTGTTTCTCACATAGTTTTAAAACTCAAGGTAGACCTAGTTGATTTGGCTCGTGGATAGAGCATCAGCCCATGGACTGAGGGTTCCCAATTCAATTCCGATCAAGGGCACATACCTGGGTTGTGGGCTTGATCCCCAGTTGGGGGCGAACAGAAGGCAGCCAATCAATGATTCTCTCTCATCATTGATGTTTCTCTCTCTCCTTCTGCTTTCCTCTCTGAAATCAATAAAAATATATATGTGTTTTTTAAGAAGGTTAAGTGATAATAAAATGTTATATCTGTAGGGTTCAAAATTTTCAAATGATATAATAGCTCTGATAATTACTTAAACTTTTGACCAAGGCTAGAGTATTAATTTTTAAGCAGTATCCTCAGTATCATTTATTAAATAATTTCTCCTTTATTCATTTTACCTTAAAAAACATATTAGTGAGCATTGTTTCTTCTTGGAGGGCTGAAGGGAATGGGAGTGGGGAAGAACTTGAACTATATTTGTAATGTTAAATTTATATATTTGATGGGAGAGGTGGTAGATACAGAACTGTTATGTTGTTTGTTCGATCTTTTTTTAAAAACAACAACAACAACAACACTATTTTAATTAAAAGTTTTAAATTAAATAAGTGAAAGTACTAAGTTTCACTTCCGAGTTAACAGTTTTTAGCGTGTCTCTCTATGCTTGATTTCAATATCTTTATATATCAAATTAACACACAGATATAGATAGATAAGTAGGTAGATGGATGGATAGATAATTTTCAATTAAAATGGACTCTTAAAGTGCATTGTACTTCCATTGCTGTGATAGGGGTCATATGAGTTATGTAAATTTGTCAGACTCTTCAAAATGAACATTTAAAGTAGTGCATTTTATTGTATGTGAATATGCCACTATAGAATTGATTTAAAATGGGATCTTGCCAAAACCGGTTTGGCTCAGTGGATAGAGCGTCAGCCTGCGGACTGAATGGTCCCGGGTTCAATTCCGGTCAAGGGCATGTACCTTGGTTGCGGGCATATCCCCAGTCGGGGGTGTGCAGGAGGCAGCTGATCGATGACTCTCTCTCATCATGTTTCTAACTATCTCTCTCCCTTCCTCTCTGTAAAAAATCAATAATATATATATATTTTAAAAAGGGATCTTATGACAAGATAGTGATTATTACTGAGAGGTGCTAGTTATGTTGTTTCTTTATCTTCGTGCGTTTGCTTTGCAAAAATTTATTGAGTTGACTATTTGACCTTTTTATGTATGTTATACTTCATTAAAACAAATTCTAAGAAAATGTGATCTTTAATTCTGTTACAGACAATATACTGTTTAAGGTAATTCTTTTTACGACATCATTGTATTCTTTTGTATGCATGTATATTCTTTTTTAAAAATATATATTTTATTGATATTTTACAGAGAGGAAGAGAGAGAGATAGAGTTAGAAACATCAATGAGAGAATCATCAATCAGCTGCCTTTTGTGCACCCCCTACTGGGGATGTGCCTGCAACCAAGGTATATGTCCTTAACTGGAATCGAACCTGGGACCTTTCAGTCTGCAGGCCGACGCTCTATCCACTGAGCCAAACTGGTTTCAGCTGCATGTATATTCTTAAGCACTTTCCTTATGAACATATCTAATCATATTTTTTTTACACACTTATGAATTTTCTTTTTTTTCGTTTTTTATTGATTATGGTATCACAATAGTACACATTTATGAATTTTAATTGTATTTTATATTTAAAATATCTGGTAGTAACTAATCTGTATTTTCTTTATCAACATTTTCTTGTCTATTCTAACCAGTTAATTTCCCTGGGTAAATTTTAGAAATTTTTATTAAATTTCAAAAAGAAAAATCACCCAAGATTATTGATCATTTAAAGTATATTCCATTGAAATCAGTTAATTTAGGAGAGAACTGACATATTTACTATATTTGTATAATTCCATTTAGTAATCTGCTATATCTTTTTTGTTAAAAATATTTTTATGTCCTTAACTAGTAATCTGCTTCATTTAAATCTCACACATATTCTTATTAAGTATATTTTCTACCTAATTTGTGTTGTTATTTTAGGGAAAAAACTTTTTTTTAGATTATGTCTTTTCATTTGACAGTATTGATCTGTATAAAAAGTTCCACTAATCAGAATACAAATTAAAATTTGATCTCATTTTTTTATTTTCAAAGTAAAACACTTTTGAGGATTGTAAAAAAGTAGTGCAACAGGAAGGAAATTAAACGTTGTGGAAGACATTTTTGTTTTAAAAACCAAAAGTCTAAACAGTCAGACAAATTTATTTAAGGTCAACATGTAGGGGTGTATCAACAATTTCAAAGAAGCAACATTAATATGTTTCTCATATTGGCTCTATGTTTAATACCAAGAAATGAGAAAAACCTTAAATGACCAACAATAGGACATTTATTTAATAAACGATGACAAAGCTATCTGACGGAATGCTTATAGCCTAAAAGTCATACTTTACAGGAACATTTAATGGTTTATATAATGCTTACAAAAGGTTATTAAATGGAAAAGCGTGTGAAACACTAGGTAACAAAAATTCAACTACTGTATTTTTAAAAATTGAAGAAAACAACTTATTCAAGAGAGATATACAGCAGAATCAGACAGGATTTTGTAATTGGAAAACTGGATACCCCTTTATGCTGACCTAGAAGTAAATTGCTATATGTAATATAATACCTAATAGGTTTTATTCTTCTAAATTGAAATTGAGATCATTATGACTTTTCCATAATAGATTAAAGGAAGTTTTGGTGTTGGTTGTTAAACCATTTGTCCATATTAAATAGCTATACAGAAATGGATCCTGTTATCATTGCCTCTGAAGGAGTGGAGAAATTCAAAAATGAAAATTTTGAAATAATTATTGTTGATACAAGTGGACGTCATAAACAAGAAGACTCTTTGTTTGAAGAAATGCTTCAAGTTGCTAATGCTATAGTAAGTAGCTTTATTTTAACATTATGAAGTCTTTGGTTAAGTTAATTATAAACCCTGGTTGAATTTATGACCTGTATAAATTACTTTTGCTTTTAAGATAGGCTCCAAGTACTTTATTTTTGTCTTGGGTACCTCTATCTATATGAAAATGACTTTATCTTCTCTATATTAAGAATGAAATTTTCATGAGCAAATATCAGAAAAATAATTTCCTATCTCACTCATCTTACTAGTATGTATGAGAGAAAAAAATCAGGAATTAACCTTTAATAACTGTTGCATTTCCTCTCTGTAAATACTTAAGTCAAATTAGAAACATTTACTTTAGAATTTTCAAAGTGAGGCTCTTAAAAATGTTAATCATCACTTAGTTTCTCTTTAGAATTTTGATGGAAGTAATTTGGAAAGAAGAAGCAGTTTATAGGTAATATTATAACATATTATAAACCCATATTTTGCCACTGGGTGGAGGCTATAATTCTTTGGCTCATTATAATAAGTTTCTTTTTAACTATGCCAGTATTTGACCTAGTTAAGCACAGCGAAGAGAAATAGTCTCACTTGTATTTTATTCAATTTGGTTTTCATGTGCATTCTTCTACTTTTTATTTTTCTCTGATTTACTTTTGCTCTTCTCTTTGCCTACAATGTTATTCTTCCAGATCTTTGTATAACTTTTTTCTGTTTATTCAGGCCTCGGCCCAAATGTCTACCTCCAGAGAGGCCTTCCCTGATTACCCTTCCTAAAGAAGTCTCCCTCACCTCAAAACTGATATTCTCTGTCCCAGTTTAGTTGCTACTAAACTGGGATAGAGAATATCAGTTTATCAGTCTCCTCTAACTATAATGGAAGTCGAATTAGGACAAGGATTTTCTTATTTATCTCATTGTCTTAGGACCTAAATAGTGCCTAATACATAGCACTCCCTCAAAATATTTATTGATTGGATGAATAATTATTTATAATAAATATTTTATATAGCTTCTAATGATGTTGCTGAAGATCAGGAAAAATATGTATTTTTTCTATTTAAATTTTCTAGCAACCTGATAACATTGTTTATGTGATGGATGCCTCCATTGGGCAGGCCTGTGAAGCCCAGGCTAAGGCTTTTAAAGATAAAGTAGATGTAGCCTCAGTAATAGTGACAAAACTTGATGGCCATGCAAAAGGAGGTGGTGCACTCAGTGCGTAAGTATCATTGATGCTCTTGTCCTATGTCTTAGGCTTATATGGTGTGTGTGTGGGTGTGTGCGTGTGTGTGTGTGTGTGTGTGTGTGTGTGTGTGTGTATGTGTATGTGTATATGTATGTGTATGTGTGCACGCCGCGCGGGCGTACTTACAGATTTCTTATTGTTCATTTAAAATATATTCCAATAGTGGACCTAATATGGTCTATGATAGAAGTTTAAATAGAAACAAAATTTTGGAGTCCCTCTGATACATAGTTTTGTTTTAATTAGTTAAAAGAAACTTGAGCTATGTACCTCTGTCTAATTAGCTTTGAAATATGCAAGAAATTTGTTTTCCTTTTATGTTTTCATTTTGTAGAGTTGCTGCCACAAAAAGTCCAATTATTTTCATTGGTACAGGGGAACATATAGATGACTTTGAACCTTTTAAAACACAGCCTTTCATCAGCAAACTTCTTGGTATGTATGATGGTAGAATACACAAAAATCTCCAAGAAATAGCATGGATCTTTAGGATAGATTAGAGTTTTAATTCCTTCCACTCACTAACTAGTTCAGGAGAATCATGTCCTTCTATGATTTATCTTCCTCACCTGTAAAATAGGGATGGTGGTTATTTACTTCTTGTGGTTAGAATGTTAACATGAGCTATTAGATGGCAAGTTATTTTTGAAAAGTTGTAGAGCACAATACAAAAATATAGTGGTTGTACTAATAGCAGTGAAAATGGCAATAAAACTTTCATAATATCTCCAGCTGTTATAGAGAACATGGAATTTGGAATTAAACCCTGAGTTGGCATCCCTGCTTTGTCATTTAACCTTTTTAGCTTCAGTTTTCTCACCGAAAGTGAAATAGAAATAACAGATCTGCCTATCTACAGGATTATTATGTATGTGCATGTATTTTGTGTAATGTAAAGTAAGGTATGCTATTGTTAATTTTGCTTTTTTGCATATTATAGGTATGGGTGACATTGAAGGACTGATAGATAAAGTCAACGAGTTGAAGTTGGATGACAATGAAGCACTTATAGAGAAGTTGAAACATGGTATATAAGGAGCCAAAAGCATTTTATTTCAGAATATCTTCTACTTTTTAATAAAACTAGTATTTATTTGTTTGAAATGATGTCTATTAATAAGCCATTTCCTAAAATGTTTATTTCTTAGGTGATGTATATAAAAATCATTTTAAATTTCAGATGTCTGAGCAATTTAATTTTAGTCAACCTAGTGGGTATAGTTAATCTGCTTTGTTTTCAAGTGTCTTGTGTATTTTTTTATTCCATTTTCTCTGATGGAATGTAAGCTTCTCTAGGATAAGATCTGTGTATCTGTATATTCTCTATTGAATTCATCCTATGATCTTGCACATAATAACTGTTCAATGAGTATTTATTGATTGGATATTTTATAAGTGTGCTTCAAGATGAACCCATAATGAAAGAAAATACTAGTTTTATGAAATGAAATGTACATCCTCTAATATATCTGACTCACATTGTATTTCAGGTCAGTTTACGTTGCGAGACATGTATGAACAATTTCAAAATATTATGAAAATGGGCCCCTTCAGTCAAATCTTGGTTAGTTATCCTCAAAAGTATTTTTATAACTTGTTTTTTCATTAAAATTTCTAAGAATAGATGTATTTGTTTTAATTATTTTTAATATTTGGGTAAATTATCTACTTTAAAAACAGCATCAATGTTAAAGCCAATAATTAAATGCCAACATTCGGAATAATACATCTCAAGCTATTATTGATTTTGTGTTTAAATATGTCTGTTTTAGGGAATGATCCCTGGTTTTGGAACAGATTTTATGAGCAAAGGAAATGAACAGGAGTCAATGGCAAGGCTAAAGAAATTAATGACGATAATGGATAGTATGAATGATCAAGGTAAGTTGATAGATTACTTGTTCTGCATATCAGCAAGTTTTCACTGTGGTCTTGTGGACAAGATGGAGAAAAATGGAGACTACAAGGCTTTTGTTAAGTAGATTTTTATTTGTTTGAAAGCTCTTACTCAGAGGTTAATGATTAGATAGACTTCATTGAGAAAATGGTCTAGTTCCATGGAAACAACACTAGTTCTTCATGATGTTGGTAGAAAGAACTTAAAAGGGGAGTTCTGTAGTCAAATAAATTGGGTGGAAGGCCAGGTTAAAAAGAAATTCTTCAGATCTCTAGTATGCTAATGTGAAATGGCATTTATGAGAGAGGGATGGTTTAAGCAATGTTTGCAAAGTTATTTCGCTCTGAAACTGATTGTTCATTTTTCATTCTTCTTAGATGAAGTACATTGCTCTGTCTCTCTAATCCTTTATTATCACTGCCTTCTATACTTCAGGTGTTTTATCTGGTTCTCATTCCATTAGCATTTCTAGTCCCTAGACCCCTTTATCTTTTTATTAGTTTTTAAGCACCCTTTCTGATTCAGTCCAGCTTGTATATCATAATACTCTTTTTTAAGGCTCTTTACCACTTGACCTCTGGCCTCATTCACAAAGAAATACATGCAATTTTTTTTTTTTTTTTGTCTCTCTCTCTTTCCTAAGCTTTAGGTTTTCAAAGTAATTTAAATAAGATTGTGTCTTTCTTATCTCTTATCTTCAATACTGCAAGAAGTTTTATATAAAGAATTAATAGTTGCAGCCATATCTAGAGTACTTTACTCTGTTTTAGGCATTGTCCTTAAGCACTGTCCTGAGGACTTAACATATATTAACCCACTTAATTCACAACAAATCTTAAGGGGCAATTCTGGAGTCAAAATCTATTGTTATCTATCTTTTACAGATTAGGAAACTGAGATGCAGGAAGTAATATTCTCAAAATCACTAGGTAGAGTAGAGAATATGGGCTTCAAACTCAGTCATTCTGGCTCAAGAGTCTACACTCTGTATCACCTTCTCTTTAGGTGCTCACTAAATGATGGACATTTTTTTTTTTTCATGTTTGAAAGTTTTCTGAGGCAAATCAGATCCAAAATTAGTGCTTCTCTCTTGGTAAATGACGTTTCTATCTATCTACTCAGTCACCCAAGCTAGAAACAGGTCAATTTAGATTTATATCCTCACTGATTTTTGGTTTAATGGTTGTATTGATTGTGAAGATATGTCAGTTTTGCTTTATATATTTTATATATGATTTTTGGTTGGGTATATACACATTTAGAATTTTTATATCTCCTTGGTAAATGACTCTTTTATCATTATGTATGTGATGCCCTCCTTTATTCTGGATCTACTTTGATATTAACGCAACCACTTCAACTTTTTTTTTTTTTAATATGTTTTCATTAATTTCAGAGAAAGAACGGGAGAGGGAGATAGAAACATTGATGAGAGAGAATCATCAATTGGCTGCCCCTTACTGGGGATTGGGCCACAACCTGGTCTTTTGCCTTGTTCAGGAATCGAACCAGTTACCTCTGGGTGCATGGGACTAGGCTCAACCAACTGAACCTCACCAGCCGGGCTTCACCTTTTTTTAAATTAGTTTTTTGCATTGTGTATCTTTTTTTATCCTTTTACTTTTAAAAAATATATATATTTTTATTGATTTCAGAGAAGGGAGAGAAAAAGATAGAAACATCAATGATGAGAGAGACTCATTGATCTGCTGCCTCCTGCATGCCCTCTACTGGGAATCGAGCCTGCAACCCAGGTCTGTGCCCTGATGGGAAATCAAACCATGACCTCCTGGTTTATAGATCGGCCTTCAACCACTGAGCCATGCTGGCTGAGTCCATCTTTTTACTTTTAAATTACCTATATCAAACTTTTAAAAATTTATCATTATTGTTGAAAGTATTACAGATGTCCTCTTTTTTCCCCCCATTGACCCTTTCTAGCCCACTCCCACCGCCCACCCTAGGCCTTCACCATACTTGTCTGTGTCCTTTTTATGTATATATACACTAGAGGCCAGATGCACGAAGATTCGTGCAAGAATGGGCCTTCCTTCCCCTGGTTGCCAGCACTGCCTTTGCTCCATCCTGGAGCCGCCTTTCTGCCTTCACTCTGCCCGGAGCCATCTTTCTGCCTTCCCACACTGCCCAGAGGCCCAGAGTGGCTGGGGCTATGTGGAATACCTGCATCATCACCTTGGTGGCAATGCAAGTGTCCTGCCCCCAGCCGCTCAGCACCTGTATATGCAAGTTAATCTGCCATCTTTGTTGAGTTAATTTGCATACTCATTCCTGATTGGCTGGTGGGCATTGTGAAGGTACAGTCAATTTGCATCTTTTTCTTTTATTAGTGTAGATAAGTTCTTTGGTTAATCTCTTATTACCATCCATTCATCCCTGCCTTTCCTCTGAAATTCATCAGTCTTTTCCATGTTTCTATGTCTCTAGATCTATTTAATTCATCAGTTTATTTTGTTCTTTATATCCCACATATGAGTGAGATCATGTGATACTTGTCTTTCTCTGACTGGCTTATTTCACTTAGCATAGTACTCTAGATCCCTCCAGTGTCATATTTAAAGTGAGTTTCATGTCAACAGCATGTAATTGGGTGGTTTATCTTTTAATACAGTCTAATGATCTCTTTTAACTGATATAGTGTTTATATATTAGTATTTATTTCTAATTCTGTCTATTCCCTCTGATTTTGTTGTTCTGCTTTCTCTTTTCTGTGTGCCTATGGGTTATTTGAACATTATTTAAATTACCTATGGTGTTTTTGAGTATATCTCTGAGTAGTTTTCTTAGTGATTGCTCTGGGTATTACAATATACATATGTATTTATCTTACCACAGCTACTTGTATCAATGTTTTACCACTTGAAGTGGAACATAGAAACCTTAACATCACCTTAGATTTTAGTGAGTTCTACTTCCTAAATATTTCTCACATATTCCCTGTTTTCTTTGCCTCTATATCTACTGCATCGCTATGTTAGCCTCCCTAACATTTCCCTTTTTATTTTCTCCTCTTTTCAATCTTTCTTTCTCACTGCCACAGAATGGTTTTTCTTCTGGGCTCAAATCTTTCAATTGTTCTTTATTGTCTTCATGATGAATTCTAAACTGTTAAGCTTGGCATACAAGTTCTGTTATTACTTGCCCTTACCTTACTTGTACAACTTCTTAAATCTCTCAGCTCTTACTTATGCTTGATTCCTTCTAAACATAGTTGTCACTGTAGGAATCTATGTTCTACTTCCTAGAATGCCCCTCTCCTTTCTCTTCTGTACTCACCTCATTCCTTGCCCTTCAGGACTGCTCACTTAAAGAGAAACCACCGCCTGAGCTCTTCCTGATTTCCTCTCTTCGCTGTCCCCTGCTGTTTGCTTAATTCTGTCATGTTGCTAGATGTGCTATTATTAGCTTATCTTCTCTCAACTCTGATTGAGCTTTTGAAAGAAATATAATGCACATTTCCTAAATGTTTAATAATAAAGATCTGGCTTAAAATCTGCATTTATGAAATGGATTTAGAAGTTTTAATGGACTGTAAGCTTATTATGAGACAATTTAATATTGTATTGTATTGGTAATCAGACTTCATCTAGATTTCAGTTTACTTCTGGACAGAATGCTTAGAGGGCATAGACAAATTAGAAGTTGTATTTAGAAAAGCAGTATGATAAATGAAGTTCTAAAGAGTTGGATATTTTTCACCTAGAGAAAATTCATAGGTCACATGTGGATGGCTCTCATATATTTGAAAGACTTATTCTTTGTGCCTGCTGACGAGACATTTATGCAAATGGGAAGAAGTACCAGGAAAACATATTTCATTTTAATATGTAAAAAGATTTTTTATAATTATAGAAATAATAGAATGGTATAGATTGCCTTATGTTAGTTAGTGGGTTATCTCTCCTGGGGATATCAAGGCCGAGGCTAGATGACCACTTATGGGGGATGTTATAGAGAGGATGCAGACTTCGTAGATTTTGACTAAAGGCCATTTCATTTCTGAGATTATATGCAATTAATACCAGAAGAAATATGCCTCATATTCTAAGAGTTATCAAAAACACTGAAGCAAATTAACTATGTTACAGAAAGGATTAGAATACCAGTAGTAATTACTTGATAATAGGAAATATAATAATTATTCTGTTAATATAGATAGATCTACCTACTTCTGCTTGCATATATGTCTAAATTTATTATTTAAAGGTTAATGGTATTTAGAGCTAAGGTGAGCACTTTTGTTCTTTTCTGAAATATACCTTTTATGTCTGATACATGCTCTGAGGAGCAGTTAGATAAGAGATATGGAAAGGATGGGCATGGGTTTGAAAGGTTTTCAGAATGTTCTATTTTACTTAAACTGTAGAGTAAGTACATATTAGTTTTTTGTTTCTTATAGCTTATAAATATAAATTTCTTTGTAATATATTCCATATTTAACTTTTAATAATCAGGTAAATAGGGCAGCTGATAACATTTGTTAAATCTGGTTGTGGTTTGATCATTATAATTGTTTTTATGTGTGTAAGATATCTGCATATAACTGCTTTGATAATGGAAATTAATTATAAGTGAAAGTAATTGACCCTTCCTTGCCTGCAGAACTTGACAGTACAGATGGTGCCAAGGTTTTTAGTAAGCAACCAGGAAGAATCCAGAGAGTAGCAAGAGGATCAGGTGTGTCAACGAGAGATGTTCAAGAACTTTTGACACAATATACTAAATTTGCACAAATGGTAAAAAAGATGGGAGGTATCAAAGGACTTTTCAAAGGTAAGAAAAATAAACTCATCATTTTAGTTAACACACTGAAAGGAAAGAAAGTAAAAATTAAAGCTAGTAATACTGCCAGAATTAGAAAATATATTACTAAATTTCATGTTATATTTAAGTATTTCAACGTTCATAATGTGATTTCTGATTTCAAGGTAATAAACACTCAGATTTTTTAAACTTAATTTACTTAATTTTTGAAGATGTAATATGTATTAAAGAAAATGTAGAAAATATAAGATAAAAATTTAAAATAACTATTACCTTTACTCCCCAGAGAATTTCGTGGGTTGTATTCCAAATAATATTTGATATAACTTGTGTTTTTTTCGGATACATTGTGACTGTTTTCCATATTGTCAAATTTTCTTCAAAATATAACTTTTAAACACTGCATACTATTCCAATTGAGCATGTATCTTTATTTAATGCAGTGCTTCTTTGTTGGATATTTAGGCTGATTTATCTGCTTCTCTGTCAGTGTCAGTTCTTGTATCAGTTTCTGTGCCATCATCCATGAGCCAAGGGGTTTTTGTCTGTTTGATTAGAAACAGTAAATGCTGAATAAATTTTGTAGTAATTTCATATTTCCAATTTAGTGGTCAAATATTTTTCAATATACATTTTTTAGATTACTAATAAAGCTTAACATATCTGCATTTACTTGTTTTAATTTCCTTTGTGAATCACCTCATAGGTTAGCTGTTATTTCTTTTTTGTTGTTGTTGCTTTGTAATAACTCTTTAAAATCTTGGTTTATATCTGCAAATATTCTTCCCAGTTTTTTACTTGTCTTTAATAAATATTTATATACATACATATATTTTTTTTTTGTTAATCCTCACCTGAGGATTTTTTTCCCATTGATTTTTAGAGAGAGTGGTGTGTGTGTGTGTGTGTGTGTGTGTGTGTATGTATTAATCCTCATCCAAGGATATTTTTCCATTAATTTTTAGAGAGAGTAGAAGAGAGAGGGAAAGACAGAGAAATATCCATGTGAGAAAAACACATCAATTGGTTGCCTCCTACATGTACCAGGTCCTGGGCCAGGGAGGAGCCTGCAATCGAGGTACATGCCCTTGGCCAGAATTGAACTCAGGACCCTTCAATCGGCCAGAGCTATTTATGTGTGTGTGTGTGTGTGTGTGTGTGTATTATATATTTATATAAATATTATATATATATATATATATATATATATATATATATATATATATATATATATATATATTTCCCCCCCCCCCAAAACTTATCAGGAGGTTTAATTTTTGAAAGCATAGTGCCATCTGGTGTAAGAAAAAAATTCAGAGTATATTTTTTAATGAACAATTTTTATTTTTAATGTAGTCAAGGCTATTTATCATTTTCTTTTATGCTCATAAAAGTTTTCTTGCCAAAACCGGTTTGGTTCAGTGGATAGAGCATCAGTCTTCAGACTGAAGGGTCCCAGGTTCGATTCTGGTCAATGTACATTGGTTGCAGGCACATCCCCGATGAGTGGTGTGCAGGAGGCAGCTGGTCGATGTTTCTTTCTCATCGATGTTTCTGGCTCTTTATCCCTCTCCCTTCCTCTCTGTAAGAAAATGAATAAAACTTAAAAAAATAATAATAAAAAGGTTTTCTCCATGTTGGTGTAACAGTAGTCAGCTATATTTTCTTCTACTCATTTTGGTTTTATTTAAATGTTAGGTTTTACTTTTTGTCCAATTTGAAATGTATTTTGCTCTGGATTGTATAAGGTTAAAAAAACTAAGTGTGTTTTCCCAAAGAGTTAATTAACTGTCCCAGCCCTCTCAATTTTTTTCTATATTAAACACTATTAAAGTGAGTTTCTTTCAAAAAAATGTTTTTAATATATTTTTATTGATTTCAGAGAAGAAGGGAGAGGGAAAGAAAGACAGAAACATCAATGATGAGAAAGAATCATTGATTGGCTGCCTCCTGTACACCCCCTACTGGGGATCAAGCCCACAACCTGTGCATGTCTCCTTGACCGGAATTAAACCCGGGACCCTTCAGTCTGCAGGCCCTATTCTATCCACTGAACAAAACCAGCTAAGGCTCAAAAAATATTAGTTAAGCACACTCTAAAGATGAATCATACCATTAAATAGCTTTCTTTAAAAATAAGTATTTATACAAGTTCTTACCACCTTTTTCTTTGACACTTTTCTTATTTTTCTTACTGCTATATCCTAGATTCTCTTTTAAAAAAAAATTTTTTTTTTTTATTGATTTTAGAGAGGAAGGGAGAGGAAGAAAGCGATAAAAACATCAGTGATGAGAGAGAATCATTTATTGGCTGCCTCCTGCACACCCCCTACTAGGGATCAAGCCACAACCCCAGGCATGTGGCCTTGACTAGAATTGTACCCGGGACCCTTCAGTTCATAGGCTGGCACTCTGCCCACATGTGATGTTATAATTCCTAACATCACATGCTATTTCAGATAGTGATTAATAAACCGTGTCAGTTTAACATCTTTCCTAAACCCTGACTGTTGTTGATAGAACTACTGAGATCCATCAACCACTTCTTATCTAAATATTGATTACTCAGTAATGGCAAAACCAAGATGAAATGGCCATTGGATATGGGGCACATCCTTGTCATATCATAAGTTTTAAATCCTAAGGAACAGACTCTGTGTCAAAAAACAAAATGAACATAGAATTTACATCTTGCATAGATTTAATTATTTTTTGCAGATTTCATTGTTTTATAAAAACATCTGTTCATAGACCTTAGTTCATATAATTTACTCAGATTAGCCAGTTTTGATTAGAGAGTCAAGGGCAGCTTTGGTTTTCATTTTCCTAAATGCTCCTATGAAGCAAATTGCTGAAGCAGTTTTATTTGTTCATTGCTGTTGCATTGATCTCTTTTGCTTTCTGTCTCTTAAGCACAGCAGCTCTTCTCTAAAGCAAGCATGTCAAATTCAAAGGCTAACACGGGTCAAATAAAAAAGGTTTTAAGTTTATGTGGGCCGCAAAAAAACACACAAAAGCTTCAATTTTCATAAATGTAGGTTCATTTCAATAGAGAAATGCTAAATACAAAGGACTGAAATAAGGGAGTAATTATTAACATAAAATAATAGAACATTTTAATAAAAATTAATATTTTTTTCTTGAACATTAACTTACCAAACACTGAATAACTGTACAAATTAATAAGCGTAACACAAATAAATCTATTTTTCTTATTCTCCAAAAGCAAAATATTTCCTTTTGTGCAAATTAGATAAGTCAGTACAAAACTAATGATGTGGAAATCAGCTGCTAAAATATTTGCTGGTAGTATTAGTGGAGAGAAATGGTGTGTCTGCGAGTAAGGTGTATAAGGGAAATAAATGCAACACAATTTTCTGTGTATATTATAAAAATTAAGTCATGAAATTTTTATTAAAACATTTGTCACATACCATTATATTGGCTGGGCCACAAAAATACTCGTTGTGGGCTGCAAGTTTGACATGCTTGCTCAAAAAGAAAATCTCTTATCCTGCCTCAGAGTGCTTCTTTTTCATTGGCTGCTGCTTTTCCTGTGGAGTTTTGACTGTGTGTGTGGCAATTCATTGATAAATGGAGTTGTGTTAGTTGTCTTACTATTCTCTGAAGCTTCTTGTTATTTTTAATAGTTTCTTAGATATATAAAAATTTTCAGGTTCTTTCAAAATCCTTCTTTCATATTCGTTTACCAGCATCCAGACTCTTTCCTCATTAATCCATATCTAAAAACACAGTTTTTTGTTCAGCATTCTCCCATATCACTCTAATAAATTGTTATGGCTTACATTAATCGCCACTGGATAGTTTTGCTTATAGTGGCTCACAGGTATAACTAAAAGTATTAAGAAAAAATCTTAGCCCTGAAGGAAGTTCCTTAAATATTTTTTTTAATATATATTTTATTGATTTTTTTACAGAGAGGAAGGGAGAGAGATAGAGAGCTAGAAACATTGATGAGAGAGAAACATCGACCAGCTGCCTCTTGCACACCCCCCACTGGTGATGTGCCCGCAACCAATATACATGCCCTTGACTGGAATTGAACCTGGGACCTTTCAGTCCGCAGACCAACGCTCTACCACTGAGCCAAACCGGTTTCGGCGTTTCTTAAATATTTCTTCATATAGAATTTCACTTATACTTTCTCAAAAGTATATATGTAATTGAGATAAAAATTAGAAAGGAATATATGATTGTGTTAGAGTGATAAGATTATAGGTGATTGATTTTTTTATTTACTCAATTTATTAAACTTTGTGATATCCTGATTGTATTACATTCCATATTGACTCAAAACCTTCTTTAATTTCAGGTGGTGACATGTCTAAGAATGTAAGCCAGTCACAGATGGCAAAATTAAATCAACAAATGGCCAAAATGATGGATCCAAGAGTTCTTCATCACATGGGTAAATACAGAGTTACTGTCAGTTGTTTAAGGGTTGTTTTCATTAGCCTTCTGTTGGTGATACTGTGAAAATCTGTTCAGCAGATATCTGATTTTAGGGAAATAGCCATCTGTCCTCTAAGTTGAATAGTTGTAATAGTGCCTATGTAAGCTGAAGTTTTATTCACCTTTCTGCTGCCATCTGTTGATATTTGAGCAAACTACTTAACAAGCTTTTTTTAAAAATGTTTTTATATATTTCAGAAAAATGAAGGGTGAGGGAGAGAGGGATAGAAACATCAATAATGAGAGAGAATCATTGATTGGCTGCCTTCTACATGCCCACTAGGCATGTAGGAGCCCACACTCATATGTACCCTGACCAGGAATTGAACCATGACCACCTGGTTCATAGGTCAATGCACAACCTCTGAGCCACACTGGTCAGGCAATAAAAGATTAATTCTTTCTGTAAGTCCTATGAAATAACTCCCTGCCCTCCCAAATTGATTACAATTTACAATAAAACTCTTTTGGACTTCCCAGAAATTGAATTTTTTGTTTAGATTTATTGACTTCTTTCTGTGTAATAGACACTCTGTTCTAAGGTTTTTCAGGTATTATTTCTCACCACTTGAGATAGATTCTTCATTCTCTTTTATAGATGAGAATACTGGTATATTCTTTGGGAGTTAAGTACTTATTAGGCAAAAGTAACAAATGTTTCAGGTTCTGCTTAATTCAAGTTCTTATAATAATCTGATTTTACTTTCTCTCTAGGTGGTATGGCAGGTCTTCAGTCAATGATGAGGCAATTTCAACAGGGTGCTGCTGGCAATATGAAAGGCATGATGGGATTCAATAATATGTAAAGAAGATGCCTTAATATAACCTGACTCAGCTGATTATATTATTTGCTGAAACCTCAGAGTTTCCTCTTTTTAAAAATGGGGAAAAAGTATTTTTCTTGCCTGTCTTGCCCTTTTTCTTTTCTCTTCTCATCATTTTTCTCTCCTCCTTTTCTTCTTCCTTCCTTTTTTCCTCCTTCCCTTTGATATCAGGGAGGAATATGTGATTTTTGTGGAAATCATATTTTGCTTTAGATTTTCTTCTGTTCGTTTTTACCATCGTAACACTTAAGTTAAACAAATCATGATGTAAAATTTTAGTACTTGAGTTTTTAATTGTTTCAAAGGCCAAGCATTACATTTGTAAACAGTCCTGGTCAGTAGTTACATAATTTCTCAATAAAAGTGCTATAAAATAAACTTCAGAGTTGTTATAAGTTAAGGGTTTGTTAATTTTCTTTACGCTTTAAAATTATCAGTGCATCACATTAGACAGAAAAATCAGTATCTCTTTCATTTAAACCTATCCTTGGAAGTATACCTTTAATGGGAAATATGGTAGAGTGTTATAACCATTAGTACTAGGAATTTTTGTTTAACTTAGAAAAATCAAGATAATTTTGCCATAGAAAATCTTACCACTGCCATTTAAATTTAAATTATGAATAGGGTTACAATTTATAATACAATGTTTTGTATATAACTTGCTTTTTTTTTTTTAGACAAATCTTTATTATTCAGATTATTACAGTTGTTTCTCATTTCCCCCCCTATAGCTTCCCTCCACCTGGTTCCTACTCTACCCTCTGCCCTTACCCCCCCCCCACAGTCCTCATCCATAGGTGTACAATTTTTGTCCAATCTCTTCCTGCATCCCCCCCACACACACACATACCTTTCCCCCTGAGATTTGTCAATCCACTCCCTTTCTATGCCCCTGATTCTATTATATTCACCAGATTATTCTGTTCATCAGATTTTTAATTCATTTGATTTTTAGATTCACTTGATAGATATGTATTTGTTGTTCATCATTTTTATCTTTACCTTTTTCTTCTTCTTCCTCTTCTTAAAGAATACCTTTCAGCATTTCATGTAATACTAGTTTGGCAGTAATGAACTCCTTTAGCTTTTACTTATGTGTGAAGTTCTTTATCTGACCTTCAATTCTGAATGGTAGCTTTGCTTGGTAAAGTAATCTTGGTTGTAGGTTTTTGCTATTCATCACTTTGACAATTTCTTGCCACTCCCTTCTGGCCTGCATAGTTTCTGTTGAGAAATCAGCTGATAATCATATGAGTACTCCCTTGTAGGTAACTATTTTTCTCTTGCTGCTTTTAATATTCTCTTTGTCCTTTGTTCTTTGCATTTTAATTATGATGTGTCTTGGTGTGGTCCTCTTTGGATTCCTTTTGTTTGGATTCCTTTAGTTCTCTGTGCTTCCCAGACTTGTAAGTCTATTTCTTTCACCAGGTGGGGGAAGTTTTCTGTCTTTATTTCTCTAAATTTCTTTCAATATCTTGGTCTTTCTCTTCTTCTGGCATCACATAATTTCGATGTGGATATGCTTGAAGTTGTCCTAGAAGCTCCTTGCACTATCTTCATACTTTTGGATTCTTTTTTCTTTTCCTGTTGGGTGCTTTTTGCTGCTTCATATTTCAAATCTTTGACTTGATTCTTGCAATCCTCTATTCTGCTGTTTGATCTCTGTATATTATTCTGTATTTCAGTCAGTGTATGCTTAATTTCTAATTGGTCCTTTTTCATATGCATGAGGGTCTCGCTATATTTATCGGTCTTTTCTAAAAAATTCCTGAAAAACCTTATAACCGTGGCTTTGAACTCTATATCTTGTAGTTTGCTTTCCTCCATTTCTACCATTTATGACCTATTTCTTTGTCTCTGCATTTTGAGACAATGCTCCAACCCAGCCACTTGGCCAGGGCTAGAACAATGGCTTTTAAATAAGTTGTGGAATTGTTTTAAAATGCTAAAGTAATTATTATGCCTATTTATTATTGACATGAATAGATGCAGTGTAGTAGTATATTTTGAACTAGGATCAAATGACTGACAGTAGGAGAGACAAAGAAATAACTAGTTTTTATAGTACTAATTTTTTATAACAAGTGTTTTAAGGTCTCATAAGACAAAATATTTTATTTTTTAATATATTTTTATTGATTTCAGAGAGGGAGGGAGGGAGAGATAGAATCATCAATGATGAGAGATAGTCAGTGATTGGCTGCTCCTTGCATGCTCCCCACTGCAGATCGAGCCAACAACCTGGGCATTTGTCCTGATGGGGAATTGAACCATAACCTCTTGGTTCATAGGTCATTGCTCAACCACTGAGCCATTCTGGCCAGACATAAGTCAAAGTGTTTTTTTTGTTTGTTTGTTTGTTTTTTAATAATTACATAGCCTTATCTGGTTTGGGTCAGTGGATAGAGCATTGGTCTGTGGACTGAAGGGTCCCTCGTTTAATTCTAATCAAGGGCACATGCCTGGGTTGCAGGTTCTATCCCTAGTAGGATGGATGCAGAAGGCAGCCAATCAATGATTCTCTCTCATCATTGACGTTTCTCTCTCTCCCTCTCCCTTCCTCTCTGAAATCAATAAAAATATATTTTTAAAGTGTCATTTGTGAACTCAAAAACAAAAATGACAAAGTATGCAACTGATTTTTCTTGTTTACCTGGTAAAGATTTTATATCCCACAAAGTCACTTTCACCAGCTAAAAACTAGAAAATTTTATAGAAGAACATCGTATACCCTATGAAACTTCTGTATCCTGTTTCCTCAGTAATATCATCACAAGATGCCGCTATAGAAATTTGATAATTGAGAAAATTTTGTTCTTAAACTTAGTTTCTAATTAAACTGATGCTATTGCCTTTGCTGGGCATGCATTTTTGTGATTTCTATCTTCAGGGTACCGCTTTTGCATTTTGACCAGAAAAGGAAAGGAGATACTTGGCCAAACTTTATGGCTTCTGGCATTGTTTTTAATATATTTGTTTCTGATGCAAAAATGACAATGGCAAAGGACAACTAAAAGTCTAGAAACACCTTGTTCAGCTTCCATTTCTCTTTCCTATTCTGTAAAATGAGGGAATTGGAGAAGCTTTCTGAAATTCTAATTTTATTACTTCTGTAACCAGAGATCTTTAGTTACAAAAGCGATCCTTCTGTTCTCACAGTTTGTATCAGGAAATGACTTTTGACAGTGTAAGTACTACATAGCAAAATTAAATTCTTTAATAATATGAATAAATTTTTACTTTTTGCTATTGTTAAAATTGGTTTTATAACTTTTTGATATGTTATATTCCCGATTTAGACCACTAGCTAGATCTAATGGCATATGACATTTGATTCTTCCTGAATTTTATTAATATGTTACTTAAATATATAGAAATATATACTTAGGTATATAATTCCTTAAGCTTACAATGCTTATGTAATTATAAAACAAAAACACACTTAGAAATAAATTATCAACAAACTAAAACAAGAAAGGGCAAATTAACAATGTGATGTGATGAATGTCAATATTCTGAAATTATCACATTTGTTGGCATATAGAATATAAGATAAATCCTACACACATATACATACACATACTACATTACAGTTTTATGGCATAAGTTTTTTGGGAAAAAATGTATCTTCATCATGTAAAATAATTTCAGTGTTACATAATCCATTTTATCAAATACAGTATATTATAATGTGAGCTTCTACTAGTACGTTCTGATATGTAGTCACATTACATTTATCTTGAATAGGAATATAATGTCACATAGCTAAAAAGAAATGTAATGTGTCTAGCCGGCATGGCTTAGTGGTTGACATCGACCTATAAACTAGGAGGTCACAGTTTGATTCCCTGTCAGGGCACATGCCCAGGTTGCAGGCTCAATCCCTAATGTGGGGCATGCAGGAGGCAGCTGATCAATGATTCTTATCATTGATGTTTCTATCTCTCCTTTTTCTCTCTGAAATAAAAAAAAATTTTTTTAAGTAATTGACAAATACTACTACACAGGCGGCAAGAAAACCAGGAAATGTATTAGAACTAAAGTCTCATGAGTATTTAAGTAGATAAAATTAGTATAATATTAATACCCTTTGTCAGTGGATGTAGGGGGTCTAAAAAGTAAATGATAATCCAATATAATAAAAGGCTAATATGCAAATTGACCATAGAGCAGAACAACTAGTTGCTATGACATGCACTGACCACCAGGGGTCACACACTTAACACAGGAGCTGCCCCTGGTGGTCATTGTGCTCCCCCATAGATGGAATGCCGCTCAGCCAGAAGCTGGGCTCATGGCTGGTGAGTGCAGTGGGAGGCTCTCCCACCTCCAAGGCAGCACTAAGGATGTCCAATTGCTGGCTGTCAGTCGGACATCCCCCGAGGGCTCCCAGACTGGGAGAGGGCACAGGCTGGGCTGAAGGACCACCCCCCCCCCCCAGGGCACGAATTCCGTGCACTAGGCCTCTAGTATAAAATAAATTGAGTAAACGTCTTTCAGGTAGCTCTAGTACTTATAAACAAATATTTCAGTAAAAAAATGGAAGAAAGCATTTAAAATAAATGTAAAGGAATTTCAATTTGACTTCTGTGCATATAGTAAAACAAATATTTTACTATTTGAATACAAAAGCAACCGAAGAATTTGAATAACCTCTAATAAAAATTGTGTTAGAGCCTTAACTGGTTTGGCTAAGTGGTTAGAGCAGCAGCCTGCAAACTGAAGGGTCATGAGTTCAATTCTAGTCAAGTGCACGCATACCTCGGCTGCAGGCTCAATTCCTGGCTCTATCGTGGTGTGTACAGGAGGCAACCAGTCTTGTCCCCCTCACATTGATGTCTCTACCCCTTCCTTCCACTCTCTCTAAAAATCAATGGGAAAAATATCCTCGGGTAAGGATTAACAAAAAACAAAAATTGTGTTAGTGAGAACGTTGGTTAAACAACTAAATGTAAATAAGTTTTGGTCTTCCTTAAAAC